TTTCCAAACTGTAAACATTCTATTAGTAGGTAGTATTTATCTGTACTGTAAGTAATGTAGAAAATAAAATACCTGCTGGCTTATAGGTACGTGATACATATCATTAACGTCCTTAAACTGTCAAACACCAAGCGGTCACCGGTGACCGCAACCTATTGTTCTTTAATTGTGTCTATAAATACGGTACTCGACGAGTTAAATAAACTAAATGAATATTCAAATCGTTCTCTAAAACCCATATTAGGTACATGAGACTCATAACATAAATAGGGAAAAGTGAGTGTTACATAGTACAATGCTGCATAGATAATGTGCACCTATGCCTAGCCCTATGAGGATAAAAGGCGTGATGTTATGTTCGTCCTCTAAAAGTAATTTTTACTACCGAATGAAGTCATATCTCTTTAAAAACTATGAATTGTATAAGATATAAGATATTTCATGTGAATAAAAAAACGGAATAAGTGCAACAACGTAGCAAGGTTTTATTTATAATCTAAGGACAACTAAAACTTCAGGTGGCCACACGTCTCTGATATTGTAGGCACAACCATTTTCAATTGTATCGTGATTATTTTTATAAACTTCACGTAATATGCTAAGAATGTTATAAAAATACGTGTATATACCTTTAGTGTCAAAAATAAACTGAAAATCCGTTTATTTTTATCTGATCTTGTCACACGGTTTAAAAATACACAAATTCGACGCTGCTGCTATCTATGTTCACGTCGTTGAACTAAAGTGTATAAAATAATCTCGTTCTCGATAGCTTTCCCGCGGGAGGTGGCCAAAGCTCCCGAGCTTTAGTAGTTCCTGCGTTCCAGAACAGAGAGCGCCACCATAGCCGTTTCTGCTATGTATTTCGATACTTACTTAAAACTATTTTATTATTTAAAAATATTAAAGGAAAGTGTAGAAGTCATTAATTATATTATTAACTAAATATTAATTACTTCTCCACTTCTATTCTACCCGGTTTGCCCCAGTGTTATGGACAGGTAGGCCTAATCGTTTATCTATTAATCGAGGTCATAGCATCCTTGTATTCGAAACGCCATGAAAACCTTATCAATATATTAATTGTACGATATAGAAGAGTAACAAGCGATCGCTCAGATATCATGAAGCAAAGGAAATAACTAAAACACAAACTTTTTGGGAAACAATAAATCTTTTTATATATATATATACACAAATAATAAATAAAGCTTGCAAATAATATTTATAAACTGCACTAAAATAATGTTAAAGAAGATTTTTGCAAATGTTATAACGTATTGTGAAAGTTCTAAATCATTCAATATTTCATGGATTCGTAGCGAATAAAAGCGTCAAACTTATTGGACCCTTTTTACAATAGTTTAAATGTCAATTGTTAACTAGGTATATTTATAGAAACGATATTTTGGAACCAGGTAAAGAGCCAGCTGAGAAAACACGTGGCTTTTGTAAAGGTTGAATGCGGACCATTCATGCTTGACACACAGTAGCTCCATCTATCGGTTTGAATTTGACTTTTTTAAGTACCTAATAAACAACGTATTATAATCTACCTACATAGTTAAGAAACTCGATTGAAGTGTTGTTTGAAATTTGGTTTGCAATTTTTTTTAATTTTCGAATGTATAGGTAACGTAGTAAGACAGAAAATTCTCGAAGTATCATAAGGATCATAGTTGTACATACCTTCTATGAAATAGGACTCATAAATAAATACCTAATTGTTGTTACCTTCTGTGTGTTATGTTATGATCCTGTGAATATCCTTTGAATAATTTACCTACCTAAATAAGACAAGCTCAAGCCCTAAGGCTAAGACAACCTTTGAAACAAACAAATACGGACCTACCTATAAGAAAAAAAACTCACTTATATGTACAAATAGTTATTATGTATGAGTGTGGGCGAGCCATGCTTTGGCACAAATGGGCCGGCTTGACCGAGTGATACCACGGCCTCCCCAATCTCCTTAATCCCTGAATCCCCAACAATCCTCAAATTCCCAATCCACAAAAAGCCGGTAATGCACTTGTAATACCTCTGGCATTCCAGGTAACCATGGGCGACGCCGATGCTTACCACCAGATGATCCGTTTGGTCATTTACCGGTATATCCTATAAAAATTCTTGCTTTTTTAGCAATTGAATCTAACTATTGTTAAAAACTCAAGCTAACATAGCATATAAATAATATGTATAACACACACTCACACATTATTTCTTCAATAAATTATATTCATCATTACAGACACTTCCCGTGGGCTTTCTGCCAAATGATTTCAACCTCAAAAAGCACCATTAATTTGGCGTCATATCAAATGTTTGTGACGTTAGAATTTTACTTCTAGCACCAATTATAACATTCTATGTGCATATTTTTGTTAATTATCATACAATTATATTTTATATTTGATGCACAAAAATTTAGATTACTGACTATTCTTGACCTTTTGGGCGAGGATAGTATGTCGACTTATTAATAGAAAACTGATTGTTAAAGTATAATAAGAGTATTCGACACTCTTTTAAGATAAAAAAATACCATGGAATAGTCATTTTTCCCGATTCTAATGTTTTCACAAGTTGTTATGATAAATCTACGTACAATCTATATATTTATAAACACCCAAAAATTGGCCTTTGCAAAATTGGTCCCAACTTTACTAAAAATTAATCGTCAACGTTTACACTGCTTGCTTACTACTTCTTGGGTAGGACGTGTAATTCACTATTGTATCGTGTTATCAGTGTACGTATCAGAGGCAAAAAAAGTTCCGTTATGGGTATTAATGCCAGGCCATTATTACTGGTGACTCTGGTAACTTCAACGCTGTGTTTTACCTGCACCTTGATCCTACTACCTGAGAAACAAACAATCAGCAAACACAACGAATTAAAGAATTATACCATCGGCCTTTATTATAATAAACATTTTGGCTTCAAAACAATTTGGTGCGAAATCTATGTTCTCCAAACACTTTACCCAAGACATTCAACCTTTTTTGTGGAAAAATGAATTATTTGTTACGTTTTAAGATATTTAGTTTTTACAGTATTTTTAATTCTTCAATAATAATACCGATACCAGATAAATGTACGTAGGTTTCAGTAAAATATAAAAGCTTTCGGGAGGTTTTGTGTTCTTCAGTTCTGACATCTACTTACATGTTGAATGTTATGAATTTATAATGATAGGTATGATTGTAAATAAAATGTTGCAATAAGTAGTTTTGTTTTCTTTTTTATTATAAATCTATACATTAAATTATAAGTAGCCAACCTATGGCTGCGCCATACACTATACAATACTTATTAAATATACGTACCTAAACACAATCGATCTTTAAAACAAAGCCTTAATTACAAATTAATGAACAACAATTTACTCCAGTGATTTTATATCAATCTTTTACTCATAATTACAACTTTTTAAAGAAAAATTATAATAAAATTGATTAACCTTTTGAAAATGTTCACGATGGAAAGATAAACATGTCAAGGCGTCGTGTATCCACATCTTGTAGATAACCACTTCAATTAAAATAGAAATTTCATAATTAGGAATATAAGACAAAGTTCTTCTTGTGAATTTAGGGTACATGTTCATTTGAACATTGATCAAATCTTTTATACCTAACCAAGTTAAAGTTATCAACAAATTAATTCAAACAACAATGATAGAAAATACAAATACAAAAAGTAAATGAGGGATACAAACACCACAATAATTAAAAGCTAGCGTATCATTCAAACATTCGTTAGTTGTCTAATTTCAATTGGAGGTAATTTTAAAAATTACGTAGTTGCACGGACTTCCATATTTTTTTAAACTTTGTGAAAGTTTACATCGGTCCAAGACGGAATAAAGAGAGAAACTTGAAAGTTCACCCATTAATTTATTACAATTAGTATAATTAACATTGCGTAACGTAACGCTCCGCTCGTCGAGTCCGCCACCGCGGCCGCCGCGCGCCGCCCGCTCTATCACTTACTCTATGGTGTTTATGCAAGTCTCTCCCTTACTCCCACCGCCTCCCGATAAATACAGTTACATACTAATTACGAGCGAGGAAATTTAATTGTCTATACATTAACTAACAGTAGAACTTCCACCGCCTCCCTGATGAGTATTCTATCGGCTTTCGTAACAATTGCCAAACAAACTAAAACATACTAATTACTTAAACAATAATTCTTACTTACACAAGTTCATTCTATACATCTAAACATTATGTTTGGTCGAAAACAGGAATGTGTAAAACGTTTGACTAGAATTTACTAAAACTTAACGTTGACCTAAATAAATATTACAATATTTAACATATTCATTTAATATCAGAGAATACTAAACACACCTCCCTTCACGAAAAGGGTCAAACTTCAATTTACTATAAAATGAGATCTTACAAGTTAATACACACAACACTATCAATACAAAATATACATCATGTCTATCCGTTTATTGGAGTTGTCGAGGGTAATTTTATTCTGTTACAGATACACATTTTGGAAATTGTCTTTAGATGTTTGCTAATAAATGTAAAAATGCCTTCAGTCTTTCTAAAAATTTGGAATTATCGGAGATCAAACAATACAATATTTAGTTTATAATGTCGAACAAAAATATCTTTGTTGCAACCCTAAGAAACTCATATAAATGAATCTATTTTACAATAAATAACATTATTCTAATCTAATGTTAATATTTCACATAAATAATTTGAGATCAATGAACAATAAATTCTCCTACATAACTTTTCATATCTATATTGTACAAGATTTGACATAACCTTTTCCATTAAAAGATGCATTTTTTGCTTTTCGACGGTCTTCTCTTGTGGATCCAGGTGCACGAAATAAAAAAATGTTTATACGTAACAATGCAATCCATTTCATAAATATTGAGATCGTTTGATTTTGGTAGTTGGTTTTGTACGATATCTAAAACAAACTGTGTAATCGTTTGACACAAAATAAAGTATGTGCAACGTCAGCTTTTAGAAATGTACGTCTTGCACGTCTGTAGGAGTATCTGGCAGTTGTGTCTGTTCTGATGTGTTTTGTTTGTAGGGCTGGGCGTGCCTGGTCCTGGGTTCCTGAGGCTGCGTCTCCCGGGCCAGCACACGCTCCACGTGGCGCGCCACCAGCTCAGCGGCCGCAGACGGTGTCCGCGTCAGGGCACACAACTCACTCACCGACATGCGCACACGCAATCCACGAGCTGCTGCCGTGATACACGCAGCAGCAATTAAAGAAGCAGGTACGAGTAGAAACTCGGTCTCTGTTGACAAAGAAAAAACAAAAATTTAATAAAATTAAGGTGATCGTGATCGCTTTTTAAAATTGTTTAATACTTTGTTTGGGTATGAACTTAAACCAAGTATGCGTTCTTGAAGGTTACTTTAAAACGGGTTTCTTGTTTACATGTTTTTATATCGAAATTCTGTACATTCGGAGAACGAAGACGCAGGTAGTGTCAGAGCGTGCACATCTGTTGCGGGATAATTACCGCGGCGCGGCGTGCGGACAGGTGGCACAGACACCTTGCATCTTAGCGTCCTGTCATCCGCACCGTGCTCCGGCCGAACATTATTAACATCTTATAACCTACTCACTGGTCAAGATCTAAATCATTATAGGTATATCGAAAAATAAAACCAAACAAGTTAAGTAAGATACCATTCCCGTACGCAATAGTTCACGAAAAAAATGTTTCCATCTTCGATGCCTGGTGGAAAAAAACTCGCGTTACATTTTGCACAATACAAGAACTCTTTTGTTATATATGAGAATGAGGAAGGCGAACCGAACAGCTGCCAGATTTGTGCATTGCGTCCCCGTCTGCATCTTTGTGTACCTACTCCGGGACAATAGACTGGGAATAATGGTAATTTACATCTTAAGTCGTCTAGCTAAGGGCGCAGCTGCAGTTCGCTTCGAAGGAGAGTAGGGTTTTTGTACTGATTTCAAATGTAACTTCGATCACAATTCGCCTAATCAATATTATTTGTCGTCGATACACGCCCTTCAATTTTGCACAATTGACCCACAATTCAAAATCAAGATTTCTTAATGTATAAATTCTAGTGCAATAATACATTGCTGAATCATAATGGTATCAGGATGTTTATCATATTACTAACGGTATAGGCATTGGAGCGTCACAAGTCAATACAATATAACTTCAAGTCGCTTTGGGTGTACTACGACGTCAGCCAAGACGGCAGATGTGAGGACACCTGGCGCGACCCTTCCGCTCGCACCTCCGCCAACCATACCACTAGCGTAGGGTCACTGCCCACCTTCAACATGCACCCTTCTTTACTCCAGCGTGCCCTTATACACTATACATCATAGTTATTCCTTAAGAAAAACAATATCGCTACACGCGAGCGCGTCATAATGTTAATCAACGTTATTTATGTTACTCAACCTCACTAGCTCGTGTCTGGCAGGTCAATGAATTCAGACTAGAACTTTAGGTCCGTTGCAGGCGTTACACTTCCTAAGCACCGTAGTACTTATAGTACCTTACGTGTCACCTAGTAGTTGTTAATTGACCATTCGTAATGCAACGAAGCATTGAAATGGCATGTTAAACAAAAAGGTCGTTGTTTAAAGTACATTTCTATGGACCAGTAACTTATTAAAAATCAAATATGTTCGCGAGTTACGTATCAGTTCTGATCTGGTCAGCATGAGCAGCGGTGCGTCACGATCCGTTGCGCGACAGGTTGACTGTCAGTTGGCGCTCCGACATCTGCTGAGCCGGCCCACGCGACTGCTAGCGACCCGAAGACTTTACACCCCCGCGTCTTACCCTTCTAATTACCACAACTGCATTCACATAGACCGTACACTCAACAGACATCAAGAACCGTTAAGTTCCGTTTGAGAAACCTGTCAGCTCCACCCTAATAGTGAATCCCAACTAGCAAATAAATGCAAAAACGCAGGGGTTGCAAATAGTTCATCTAATTGTGCGTTAAACGGGTTATGATTATTTTATTGCAAATAGTATTATCACAGATTTAATGTCTTATTCAAATGTTGGGTTCGATCAATGGTTTACGTTCCGTCAAATGTTAATTTGAGTAGGTACAGTTTACATTTTTATTATATCCGTTTTATTAACAATAGAATCGAATTACAAAGAAAGAAGGCTTTAAAAGTAGAGGTACCCGATCATTAGCCTTTAGATCGGATGTTGTAAACGGAAGTTTGAATCTCGCGAGGTAATACGTTAAGATTTTGTTCGGTGGAGATGTGCGGCTTATCGGGTGAGATAGGGTGGTGTGCGACCAGGTGCGCGCCGAGACGGGTCTTTGTCGCACAGCTTTTGTCAAGACTTTGGGACAGGGATTTGGGCGCAGAACAATAGCCGCGGGACGTCTTCGTGTATTGTCCCCGAGTCAGCTGGCGCGGTCGCCGAGCGCTCCCCTGCGTACGCGCCGACTAGTCTCATAAGTCACCGTAGCCGTGACACTACTTCAAGAAATTAGTCCGGTCAAACAGCACAAGTTGTACTCAATATAAATCTTGTTTGCAGCTACACGAATATTACATAAAAGTAGTCTTAAAATTTTACGGTTGGCAAGACACGTTTGAATTGGATCTGAGTTTTAATATTGCGTTTATTTTCTTGGTAGCCCTCTATTCGCATTATTATGATCATAGTAATTATAAAGCTTTAAAAAGATGAAGGAGTTTAGGGTCAAGTAATGTTATTAACCCTTTCACACCTCTGGTAATGCACGATCAGTTACCGGCAATTATGCTACTTCCGGCGACACCGACAAAACTTGACGCCCCGCTACACGAAACGTTTCTGTTTACAATCATTCAAGCTAAATAGATGCAACTGATAGTTGACCGGCTCTTGTACTATAACTACATTCAAAACAGCACTTTGTCATTTAGACCCTTTTCAATGCATTCACTTTCTATTGTAAGTCGTGCAGTTTTACCAGTAAGTTTAGTTCGCAACTTTTGCGCTATAAATTTGCTTAACGGTATTCTAATTAAGTAACTGTAAAAGCTATAACTAGCTTTTTCTGCATTATATCGAGTCGTTCAAGAACCAACTTGGGAAAGTATTATTACAAACAATATGAACTTAATAAGTAGGTACCTATAAGGTATAATCTAAATAATCAGAGATTGTATGAAACAACAGATGATGCATGAAAAACTTTGAAATAATATCATTGGACCAATGGAGGGTGACAGACGGCAAGCAAGTGGTGGCTATAAATAACTTTTATCGGGATTCGATGGACCATAGGGGCGGACAGGGTTAACTATCACGATAATATCCCATTTTGTCACTGATCTGTTTTTGGTAACTCGATTATATACTTAAAACTGTCCTTTAGGTAATTCACAAATATAATGAAGTTAAGTTTTGATATAAAAAACTGTGTAAACTGAAAACATTAAAAAATATTGAAAATCTCAACTGATTATATTTTACTACTAGCTGCGACTTCGTCAGCGTAGAATATGCATTTTATCACATATTTTTTTTGTTTTAATTTTCTAAAATAAAAGTAGCCTATATTACTCCTTAGTACATCAGTCACCTGCCAATAGTATTGCTAAATCGTTCCAGCCATTCCAGAGATTAGCCAGTACAGACAGACAGACAGACATGCTATTTTGGTATGTGTATCGTATGTATATTCATATGCATGTAATGAAATGTTGTTATTTTAATATAACAAACAGACACTAATTATATTTACTACCTGTATAGATTGTTACTTGAAAAATAATTCAACTGTTTTTTTATAAATATCAATTTAAGATTCATGTAAATATGTAAGTACGTTGCATGCTTTAAAGCAACCGGAAATATTTAGTAGCTTTATTACGGTTTTTTATATCTAAAGCAACGACGGTGCTAAATAAAGGTCATGTGTTTAACCAAGCAACGAACTTAATATGAATTAGTAATTTCCACTAGTTTTTATTGTGTTCAGTGATCGGAAAAGCGCAACCCTCCCTGAGGAGGTAATGTCAAGGGGTCATTGGTGGTTAACGTCTAACTAGTCGGTATGATGGCTGTACACAGGTAAGTTAATTATTTCAGGGAATATGAGCACTCTGAAGGTACCTATATAACAGCAGGTTATTTCACAAAACCACCACTAACTGCTTTAAATTGGACATGGTTTTATTTCATCTATGCGAAACGATCTTAATCTATTCATATTTTACGACTTTACGCACAATAAATGAAGTACCTAACTACACATGTAAATCGTAAGTACATAAGTCGCTCGCCACGTGTCCTCTTTATAGATTTTTTACTGCTCGTAAGGTTTAATACGAAAACAGGTTTAACATTAAATTTGAAATCGTAATACCTCCATACCTATTGAAATTGTAATGGCATAATTTGAAAAAGTGAGGTCATTCGTGTATTTATAATAGGAGTGCGAGAGGGTCAGTGGCTGAGGGGTGCGCAGGCGCAAGGTGTGCGCGTTATCACGGCGCAAACGGCATGTGCGCGTTCCGATACACGCGTCCACTCCCTGCACCCCATGCTACATCGTTACACCCCGACTACGATTCGACAATCACATACTAAAACAAAGGGAGCCTCCCACATAACCATTAAGCTAAAACCTGAACAATTTGTAAAAAAAACTGACACCAAATGGCATTTATCGATTTGACTTAATTACTGCTACTGCAGGAAGTTACTTCGACCCGCATAGCGGCTGATTTTGCTGGAAATTTATTGTTGCTGAAATAAATACTTACTTGCTATCTCATTAATAACCTAAGCAATAAAAGTTGTGTAACTCTGTACTTACCAGTATAGCATACTGAGGTGAGCGTAAGCGCATGTGTCCTGACCAGCGGGTTGGTGCGACCCCACGGCACTCGCGCAAGGAACGGCTCCACAAAGTCGAAGGCCGTTGCAATAGACAACTGCCAGTTCAATCGTTGAAGGAGCATCACTTCCCATTCCTATAACAAAAAAAAATGCGATATAAACGACGGTCGTTTCGCTTTTGAATTTAATTATTCCCAAAGGGCACGACCCCGTGTGAATAACTGTATGCTTTCTTACCTATAAACAAATTCCCTGTTCATTTGAAGTTAGGGATGTTCTGCCTATTCTAAACAGTTGATACGTAACCGTCATACTTGATGGGTTAGGCGGAAACCGCAAAAAGTAGCGAATCACATTACAATTACTTTAGAAATGTCATAAGAAAACACAAGGGACAATGAAACCCTCCGTTGCTGATATTTTTCACATGGCCACTGACATAATAAGGGCAGTAAAGCGATTCCTTGTTTATATTCAAAACAACAAATGTACTAATTTAGATAAAGTCGGGGTGAACGCCATCCATCCTTCGACCGTCTTTGGTGAGTTTTCGAGTTCAATAAACCGAAAAGCCCGGGACAGATAACTATGATTTATGTGGCCATGCATATTTAAGATGCTTTAACAATAACGCCTTTAGGAAACCAAATAAGTATGGTGCTTTTAGAACAGTAGAAAACTTAAAGACAATAGATAAAGTATGTTCTAAACTAAACGGCATCTATTAAGTGTGTTAGTAAATATTCAGTTTAAATTATTTTAATTAATGTCTGATAAGTTTTAGTGATGGCATTCGTGAATATTTAAGTAATGATCCCTAAGTATGGGAAAGCGGATCGGCCCGCACCATATGACAGCATTAAGTATGCATGGTGTAGTCGTATCGCGATCATCGCACGAATTAATAGCAAGGAAATACAGAGCATTCCACGGTGTCATACGCACTGAAGGAATGACGAAATTTGTTCTCACGGTAAATACATGATATTTTACTTTAGCATCTGGCGTTTATTTTTTAATTTAAAGAAGGTCAGGTGTGCCCTGTCTACGGAATATGTATTTTTGGATCCAAATATTTCAAAGTATGAATGCACCGGTAATAATCAATTATGCTTTATGCAAGTATGTAGTTTTCTGAGACTGCAGTTGATGATATATTTTCTATAACTACAGTTCATAGAACCTACATTACACAGAAGCGTGTGAACAAGGTGACAAAGTCAAAATTGATTACAAAGGGCAACCTCATGGGTGACAACGAATCGCACCTGTCTGTGCGGGTGTGAACGATTATGACAATTTTGTCATTACGTTTAGTTGTGGGAATGTTTAACACAAAACCGGCTTTTATAATAATGCGTCGGTATTGGGAGTAGCCCTCGGTTCCCTTTAATCTCACCAACCAAAAATACCGAGTGCAATAACCTCACCTCATTAAAGAAGTAAAAATGACGGCTACTTAAATTAGTTCTAATTTAACTAGCCATGTATCGTATCTTGTAGCCCACATTTCCGTCGGAAGCAAGTGAGCGACCAGCTCGGTGCTTTACTTCGTCACAGGCTGTGGCTACACAATAAGGGTGACAGTCTTAAAAGCCCTCTTGACTTTCTCGAGGAAGGAGTAATTGCCGGAAACTGGTATGGTGTAAGGAAATGTACCTTTGGGGTGGAGAAATGACATTTGACTCGACTAATCGAAGTTCATTCACAGCTGAATCAAAACAACAATTAAGTTTTGTGACAGGATGTCTGGTGCCGGACGTCGAAGATAGTAGCTACTTGAATTTTTATTTAGGTAAGTAAGGTAACGACGAAGGAAACAATCTGTATTTCAATGGTACGATAAAATCAAAGACGTGTACGTGTTGTCTACGTTGATTTCATTAAGTGGTTGAGGTAGGTCGGTAATCGCTGGCCAGAGATCTTGAGACTATTTTAAGAGATCTATAAAAAATATTATTATTAAACTCACCCTGACTTCTTGAGGAAACACTGTGTTGTCGGTATATGCGCAAAGCAAGTCGACAGAAAGTGGGTGGCACTGGCGGAACTTGGAGGCGACCAACATAGCGGTGACAGCCAGGAGCTGCAGCTGCTGTCGCGAGATAGCTCGCTGCGCCAGGAACCGGTCCATATAGCTCACTGCCAGGGGAAACACCTGCTCCTCACATTGCTGTTCCTCACACACCTGGACAAAATGTTACCTGATTAGATGAATGGAAGTAAACAAGTATCATCACTCCAGTAACTACGTCTAAACTACGTCTAATGACTTCAAAGCACAATTTTCTTACAATAATTATATATTTCTTGATGTTATACGATAGATTAGGGCCACGCGGTTACGTCACAGTGCAGTGGAGTGACAGGATGGGGTCATTGTCATCGGTGCGTAAATTAGAAGACGACCAAGGAACTCCAGAAAACATCTCGTATTAAAACCAAATCATGGTGAATTGGTGAGACTGTCATAGCACGATTTCTTTTCGTCTTTTTAAGACAAAACAGGAGATTTAATTTTATTAATTATCTATTAAATTTACATAAGATTATTATGTATCTAAGGTCCTTTAAATGTGAAAGTACAATGACCTCTAAAGGATTCATCAAATACCCAATATTGTTTCATATTTTACTCTTGGTGCAAGATAAGATGATTGTCTACCCACAGCGTAGAATATAAAAAGATGTATGTCAATATCTTATTGATAAGGTTAAATTCTTGTAATTAAAAATTATAAGAATTTTAGCCTTTTATTAAGTATCACAATACGTGGTCATGATATGAATTGGACAAACTACGCACATACCATAGTAATATTCAGGTCATTCACTCTAATCAGCTGTTAACTGTGACCCAGTAGGTAGTCAGCCAATTTAAATTATTGTGTTCTTATAACGCTTTGAACAATTATAGACAACTACTCAAATATTATTTTGTAATGTGTAAGGGTTATTTCAATGTATTTATTGTAGGCTTACCTCCAACATCCAGGTGGTCACTACTTTCCGCATGAAGGGCTGATATCAATCTGAACGTTTTGGAAGTAGTCCGTGTGAAGAGCGTGTGCCCTCTCCAACGCCAGCAAGTTGAGAAGCAGCCGAGGATCCCGGTCTAAGGCCCTGTCCGGCCCAGCGACGCACATGTCCACCGTCCTGCCACTTGCACTGTTGTTACCAGAATTCTGCATGTTTTCTCCACAAGATAAATCCATAGCGAGCACAAGTCTACTAACACTGAGTCACCACAGTTTTTAAATAGTTCGGATAAGGATAACAAAAAGTTTTCGAAGTTCACGCGAGACGTTGACCACTTTGTTTACAAGTTCGGCTCGTAACTCGAGGGGCAAGCGCGCGCGCACCGTACACAGCCGCTCTTGGAGCGGCCTACAGACAAAGTAAATAGGGCTGTGTCGGAACGCGGCTCCACACCGCACCCCACCCCCCTCTGGATCTCCCTATTGTGGCCCATGGTCCTTGACGAGTCTGGGTCTTATTCATAGTACGATCCAGTTTCGACTTTAGTAAAAAAGCTCCGTCACGAACAGAGCTTTTACCCGTGGCTTTGCCCTCTTTAATACTTTGTAAGTGAATAATAAATGTATATCTACGATTCGGCTGTGGTTGTTTGTAATTTTATAGGTAAAGTTAAAAAAGTATGCATATACATATGGTGGACTTAATGATACCTATATAGGTTATAGATATACCCATATATAACTATATGTAGTAAGTAGGTAACCCTACTTGCCTGAACTATCATTATTCTTGCTACTAATAATTCAACTATATTACCTACTATCAAAGCAGTAAATAAATGTGTAGATAAATATAAAAAAAATACATTTATTGCGACATTACCTGTATAAGTAGCCTAGCCTAGCGCGAATGCTAAGTGAAAGGTCTCGGGTTCGATACATGGGTAAGACAAAGTGTCTCAGTAAGCATGAAGTTTTTGAATTTTTTCCTGGAATACAGTGATAGGTTAACCCCTTATCACTAACATGGGGCCCAAAATACTGGTAATAAATACCTAAGTGTAACATTACGTATCGAATGCGTGCATAAACATACAAATTCACATACACATTCATCACACCCAGAGTAAGGTCAATGGGAATCAACTCGTGACACTTTGTGCAGCAGGCAATTGTCCATCCACTGCGCCAACCGTAAAGCCAAACCACTGCCTACCAAATACCGATTCAGGAATCAAGCCACGTAACGTTATGTTATGTTTTATATTACCTATAGTACATACATAACATCACGCCTTTTATCCCCTAAGGGGTAGGCAGAGGTGCACAATACGGCTCTTAATGCCACTGTACTTACAATGTAACACCCACTTTTTACTATTATGGTATGAGTCCCATGTAATAGGGGGTCAGCCTATTGCCATATACCAGGCATAATTCCAGGCTCCGTGTTACTATGAATACTTCTACTACCAAGTAATACTATGCCCGACCCGGGAATCGAAAACCCTTGCCGGGCAGTCGCACTTGCGACCACTCGGCCAACGATTACCTATAGTATCATTTATAATAGATACATTGGTACCTAGTTACGTGCCTATTGTATATAGGTGCTATTTATTTAATACTAGCGACCCGCCCCGGCTTCGAACGGGTGCAATATGCATGTATTATACTTACATAACAACCTTCCTTAGGAATCACTCTATAAAAAAAACCGCATTAAAATTCGTTGCGTAGTTTTAAAGATCTAAGCATACATAGGGACAGACAGACGGCGGATAGCGACTCTGTTCTATACTATGTACCTAGTCACGTATTTCAGGCATCACAGGTTTATGTGTATACTTGAAAAGTTTAGAGAATAATATAAGCAACCACTCTTTCTTTTTAATAACATGTATGATTCCACTTAATAAAGCAATTATATACCGACGAGCATGCACTAAAAGACTGATGACTGTTTATGAAACGAAAGAGGTATGTAAGAATCGTAGCAATTGGGATGATGACAGGGTATGAATATTAAAAAAATATAATTAGTCCGTAAGTATTATTTTGTTTTGTCGTATAATAAAACAATACTCAGATAAAACGAATCAAAGTTAGGAGTGGGGTCTAAAACATAAATTCTACGTATAAAATGTATGTACATAGAAGTGACGTCTAGCGACATTTCAAATCAATACATCATCGAAAGTATTCGTTTCTGTAAGAAAATAAAAAATATGTGTCTAATGATTTAAAATAATCTACCAGACGGACAGTAAAATAAAAATTAGGCATCATCATCCCACATGGGAGACAGGCGTAAAATTATGTATGTATGTACATCATTATCATAACGTGCAACTCCGCGACAATTCTTACATATGAGTTATCATGCATTTTAGAAATTTAACAACGTCGGCGTCGTCGGTTTATAGTATAACAATGTAAGTTAATTTAAGATCTACTTAAGGTAGTACCTAAGATTGAACTTTATTAGTACTTTTATAGCTACTTAATTCATACTACAAAAGCACGTTCACATGTAAAACCACTTAGTTATAAACAAACAGGCATTTACCATAAAAGCTCTATTTTTAATTAATTGCCAATAAATGGTCGAACCAGTTTCATGAATATTTTTGATTATTCTTGTTTGGTAATTTATTATATTATTATTTTTCGGGAATTTGCACAAAAAATGTATTGTATAATCCTGTTGTTACATAGGCAACAAAGAGTATAATAAGTATAGGAGATTAGCAATCAAAAAGCTCATACAATACTAATAAATAATTATTGAAAGAGTACCTAATGCTGATTTAATATTCTACTTATTTATTACCATAGAAATTGAAACTCTTATTATATTACTGCTCTTGTTACATGTTGTTCCGACCTAGGCACCAGACTCCTTATATAATATCTTCACAGTAGCCCCAGCAGGTTGCACTAATCGTCATTACCTACGTTCTGTTTCGAATTACCTAATTCGTACATTTTCGTATGTAATACGTAATACTGAAATTGATATTAATAACTGATATATGTATACGGTGCTAGCTAGACTAGCTACTGCTCTGCTACCTAAGCAGGGACTCAGTAAATAATACACTTAAACATTATTGTAAGTAATCTTTTTTATTTGATCGTTCCATGAAAATGGTTGAATACCAAAAAAAAGTATTACAATACAATAGAAAAGTAGTGTGTATTCAGAGGGCACACCTCACTGGAGGCCCGGAGGAGGGCCGACAGCTGCGCGTGCGCCACCGCCGGCTGCGCACGATCCGGTTGACATTTTATTACAAATCCAAGCACACCTGATGCCAACACCACTCATTATTATAATTCCATTCTTTTCCAGATTACTTTGTATTATATCGGGCGCGTGCTCCTTGCTTGCCCTCTCTTTATATGAACACAACTAGCTTTTCATAATATACATTGTATAAATCAGTCGCCTGTCATAGACTATTGTTTTGACTGCTTCTTTACATTATGTAGGTTTTGGTTTAGGTGGAGGTAAAGGATCTCGAAACTTTTCTGCCATATTATAAAAAGGAATGTATTTGCAAACCGCTTTCCATTCAGTGACATACAGTAGAGCGACTAACGAACCAACTCCATACGCCGCTGCCGATAAAGAAAATGCTCCCAGCTGCTCCATCTGTTTTTTTCCTAAACCCATTTCGAAGTTTTATTCTGTAAAGTATACTGAAACAACGAAAATTAAAGATGAGTCAACTTAAATTTAAACGGCTGACGGATTAATATTATTTGCATATTATTTGTATATGTCGGATTTCTGTTACTGTGTTTAGATACGTCAAAATCGCAATCATAGTGATCATCGTGATAAAAATTCATTTTAATTTTTTTTTATTTATTTGAAGGGCATTGTCTCTCATAGACAACATCGCCTATTATAAAAAGTTTTTATATGATAATAACTAAGTTCTGTATATTGCTAAATAGCAATGAGAGTAAAAATAAATAGTTACCTTAGCCTTAGATAAGTAGCTCGTCTGTCTACCTACTATTTTTTTTTTGTTGACATTCAAAAGCGGGTCTAATTGCAAGTGTAGGAGAGCCATGTTTCGGCACGAATGGGCCGGTTCGATCGGAGTGATACCACGGCCTCATAGATAACCGACGTGAAGCAACGCTTGCGTTGTGTTTCGTCGTGTGAGTGAGGTTACTGGAGGACCAATTACCCTCCCCTTCCCCAATCTCCCCAATCCCTGAAACCCCAACGATCCTCAAACTCCTAATCCCCAAAAGGCCGGTAACGCACTTGTAACGCGTGGTGTTCCAGGTGGCAATGGGCGACGCCGATTGCTTACCATCAGGTGATCCATCTGCTCGTTTACCGGCTTATGTCCTAAAACAAAAAAAAATATTTTTACTTTGAGTAACAAATATATTTAACTCGTCGAGTACCGTATTTATAGACACAATTAAAGAACAATAGGTTGCGGTCACCGGTGACCGCTTGTGTTTGACAGTTTAAACTTATACTGCATCTAGGTTAGTAGTTCCATACATATAAATGTGAGTGTTACTGTTATGTTTTGATAATGAAATGCTTAATGTCCGTGTGCATGGGCGGAACTGTATTAACATTTGGTGTCCGTCTGGGATTCTCCGAGTGGACAATTCCCGCGGTGTTACGGGCTCATCGCGCCACATGCCATACTCAAATTAGACCGCACCGCACTAACCACTAGAATAATTATAAACTTATCAATTTGTTAACTCGTTCCCATCTCTAATTTATTGTGCGACAAAATTTTATATTAAGTAAGTACCTATACTTACACTTATTCTGACTCAATTTAGCTGTGACTTCTACTTATTGAAAGCTTTTATACTGGTTATTCCTGACGTCTGCAACGCTGATCTTGTGAGGTTGTACCTCTATAGAAAATAAGAACATTTTGATATCTGTATTTTCTTAACATGCTCACCTTTAATATAACCATCCTTGTCAAAAAGCTTGTTTAAAACCAACTAACTTGAATATTAGGTAAGTACCTATCTAGTATTTTTTATAAAACCAATAATCTTACCATTTCGACTATTATATTATATTTTATTGTACCTTAGTATGTTGTTATGTATATTGCTGCAAATATGCACCCATGTGCTTTCTCATCTACTTAACAATTTGCATAAATCTTTTTAAATTAGGGGAACCCACTAAGCTAGGTAACTGGTATCAAAACTTGGGACCATACAAACTGGAATAACTTCTTTACCAAATTATAATACAACTTTGTGACTTAGTCATTGGCCACTTAAAGGTGGTATAATTCATAGTATCATTCAGAACAGTAACTTTTAATAATATAAACCACATTAAGGCATTTGATAGTAAATAGGTACCTAATTAAGTATCTTATTCATTTCAGCAGATATATTTTTTTAATTGTTTGTCTCTTTCATGTTGTGATATGTATCGTGTGTTAACTTAATATCGTAGCTCGAAGATAAGTTACAGTAGAACCTACTAACTTGGGCTCAATCAAAGAACTAGCCACTTACGTCTACGGCCTCTACCTACCTATGCCTTGTATTTGTTGGCAGGTACAACTTTGTTTCTAATCCTAACCCTAATAAGGGGTTGAGAAAAGAGCCCTCAACGGTAACAAGCAATAATAAGTACCCGACTTAGTAGGTACGTACACAAATTCATTCTAGTACCTAATCGTTTCACTTTTCCAGGTACTAAGGTACCTACATTTAATAACAATAGGTTCGTCCTAATAATGAGACTGATAACTTTACGGGTAACAAACAAAGCTCAGTCTACCCTTTCATAGAATATTATCCTCAGAAACCACTTAGCACAGCATGCTATTGTTCTAATTTATTTCGAATAATCAGCAAATAATATTTTTATACTAATATTTTAAATCATAAGTTCTATATACTTAGGTAGTAATAGTTAGTATTTATTTTATTTAAGTTTATATTATTTGTAAATAATTATCAGTAATGTATGTGCTTTTCTAAAGCATGCTAATTTATTTCGAATAACTCAGCAAATAATAATAACCAGTAATGTATTTGTTTTTACCGACATTTAAAAAAAGAATTAGGTACTTACTATGTTCGGCTGAATGTTTTTTTTTTACTTTTTTAATTTGTTCGCTGATTACTCCGCCATTTGTGAACCGATTTCCAAAATTCTTGTTTTGTTTGAAAGGGTATACCTAGGTACTCCCGAGATGGTCCCATTTCCATGAAGTCAGAATGTGATGATGGAATCCTAGGGAAACCGAGGGAAACTTTCAAAACTTGTAGGGGTGAGTAATGCTATTATATTTTTCAATCAGTATTTAAACACTACAATTTAATGAGGGTCTGGAGTCGACCTGATGATGGAACTGACAGACAGTCGAGGGAACTCCTCAACGGCCCATATTAACTACCTTGTGTTTGCGTTTGATTAATTTGTATTTATGAGAACTTTACACCTAGATGGAGTAAGACGGTCATTCAGGGTCTGATGACGAAGAAGTGTAATTCCTCAACGGTGTACAGTAACTACCTTGTGTTTGGGCTTGATAAAGTATTAATGAGGACTTTACACCTAGATGTATTGGGTGGGACTATAACTAAGGGTCCTGATGATGAAGAAGTGTAATTGTTAAGGGAACTCTTCAACGGTTTATAGTAACTACCTTGTGTTTGGGCTTGTTTAATTTGTACTGATTAGAATTTTTCACCTATGCGGATTATAAGTGGCAAAATAAAAATGTTAAAATAAAAACTGCGTTTAAAAACAACTTCAAAAAACTAATAACAAACAAAAAATAAAAACTAAAAAAGCAAAAATTAACTATTTTTAGTGTCTAATGAAGGTAAGGTGAGTACCTTACCCACTGATAGATTAGAAGTCGTTGCCATATCATAATGATATAACTTAATGGCCACAAAATTGTAAATTAGGTATCTATTAAGGTTTTAATGAATAATATTTTGTATAGAACTTATGGCACCGACTTCTAACCTATCAATGGGATAGGTGGGGGCCAAAAAGTTCGCCTCTGTGTACACCCATATAAAACTCAATTATTCCAAGGCCCAAGTGAATAGATCGCTAGACGCCGACTCATTATAAAAAATTCAGAATAAAGAAGAACCGTATTAGAACCTAATGGTTTGGTACGTGATGACGGCAAAAGACCAGATGGTATGTCGTTGCTGCCTTGGAATATGGGTAGGCCTTTGGTGTGGGACGCGACGTGTGTAGACACCCTTGCGCCATCACATCTTTTAAGCACCGCTGCATGCGTTGGTGCAGCTGCTTCCGCGGCAGAGGCCCTCAAACGGCGTGAATATTCAAATCTAGTGGGTAACTACTGTTTTGAGCCGTTTGGGGTCGAAACACTTGGGCCATGGGGTCCCAGTGCACACTCTGTGTTTAAAGACATCGCCCGTAGGCTAATCGACTCTACACGTGACCAGAGGGCTGGCTTTTTCTTCGGACAGAAAATAAGCATTGCCATTCAACGTGGCAATGCTGCCAGTCTTCTGGGAACTTTCCCCTGTAATAGTGATGCGGACGAATACTTTGACGCCTAAATTAAGGGTATAATTTTTGTTGTTTTCTTTTACTTTCTTTTTATTTAATAGTCTAGTTGTAGTTAATTTTAAGTTGTAAATATTTATATAGTTATATAAATTATGATATTTATTTAAATAGAATTAAACAAATTTTAAAGAAAAAGAATAAAGCAGTTTGTTTTGAAACTTCAGAAGGCAGATTTCTGAACTTTGCTGTCAGTGTCAATTAACATACAGCCATTTACGTCAAAATTAAATATTGTCAATTGTCATCTGTCACGTCAAGGCATAATAAACAATGTCGATTTCGCTTGTTCAACAAAATACGCTTTAACGGTTTTAATATTTTATTTATATTCTCTTTTTATCAAGAAAAGTGGTATTAACATCAAGGAATTTACTAATCAACATCAGCGAGACAATGTCTTCTGAAAAAGACCCATTAGTTAGCGAAAGATCGGGAACCGTTCGAGAAGTTGGAAATCACGCAATTTGGAGTTTGTCGTCTTGTAAGCCAGGTCAGAAACATTGAATACGTTTGCTTCTATTATCACTAATAATATAGCCAGAAATACTTATCTAAAGCTATCGAATTACACTGTTTGACTTCGAAAGAACATGAAGAGTAAAACCTGCTTGTTGTTTATACTTATGTTGTTATCAGGGTTTGGTATAGATCAGTTAAGAGATGACTGCATGGATACATACTGGCAATCTGACGGGCAACTTCCTCACTTGGTGAACATTCAGTTTCAAAGGAAAACAATGGTGTCCCACATCTACATATACACAGATTACAAGCTTGATGAAAGTTACACACCCAGCCGGATATCGATTCGAGCTGGAACACATTTCAATGATTTACAAGAAATTGAAGTGATTGAGCTGATTGAACCTAGTGGTATGTACCCTATTCATTACACCAAAGTATTGTTATAGTGAATGGAACAACAATCAGCTGGGTGGTGTCCATTGCTGAACAAAAGGCTTCCCCTGATCCTTGCATTTTTACATCTTGTCATAGCAGCAATCAAGATACTGTACCAACATAACGTAAATAATATTTGCTATCATTCTATTCTCATTTGTTTTTTCAGGTTGGGAAATGATACCAATCAAGGATATTCATGACAGGCCAATCAGAACCTATATGATCCAAATAGCAGTACTCAGCAACCATCAAAACGGAAGAGATACACATATGCGCCAAATCAAAATTCATTCACCCTGTGAACCAACATCATTTGATATTAACAAGTTCAGAAATTTCTCTACAGTACAGTTCCAGCAATATGCTACTATCCGTTAGGAGTTTCTATACTCTCATATTATTTTATAAAAACATTTGATTAAGATAAATATATTGTAATTTTTTTTTTCTTAATATATCAGCTGACTCAGGTGTTTTAATGCCAAATAAAAAATATTTATAGAAATAAACTATGTATATTTTATTTACATTTTCATAAATCATTCAGATTCATCACTTTCTTCACTTGCTTCTTCAATCCATTCGAAAAATTTGACAAGTGATGGCTGATTTGCAATAGGACTCTCGTTTTCTTCTAAGTCTTGACGCCATTCTAGCAAAGAGTCTTCATCAACAACATCTGCTTCATAGAGCAAATGTAATATTTGACCACATTTCCCCTCCAACCACTGACATTTTATACAACTGTCCTGGAATACAATAGAATAATGTTACTGTACACCAAAAAATAGTAATTTTACCAAGTTACAATGTGAATTCTACAGATACACTAATAAACTACTATTTTAAACCTATATTTCGAAGACAAGAATAAAACAAAATAGAACTTACTTCTACAGCCCTCAAACAGTCCATGACAGAAGATTTAGTTTTAATATAATTAGACAGAACTGGTCTAAAGTATTTCAAAATGTCCTTGACAGTGCTAAGAACATTTTTTGTATCAGCAAGCACAGGGATACTCAACAGAGCTCTTACAACAAAGAAGTTAACTTCATGCAACTGAATGTTGTATGCATATCTGGACGAGTTTATCTCCAAAATAAGATAATCATTCTTCAGTTTTTCTTCATATCCTCTTGCCAAACTGTCAATCACTTCTTGTAAGAATACTGAAATAAAGTTGAGAAAATTTATAAATACAAAGTAATATTGCAAATCCAACTGCAATTGAAAACTTTATTATAATATCTGAACTGAAACTTACTGTTTGTATCCTCGGGGATAGGAGAATCAGGTAAAGAAGACTCATCACTGCCATCTGATGAGTAACATGACTCGCTGTCACTCCAAGTTTTTTCAAAACCAATGAAGTCATCACCACCGCTGCCTGACGATTCATTTTCCCATTCTGTGCTTTCTGATGTTGATTTCATTAAAGTTTTTTCTGTATAAAAAGTATGTTATTAGACAAATAATATAATTTAAACAATTTTGATATAAGTATTGAGAAAATATTAAAATACTTAATAACCTCTCTCAGCTTCAGTGCTTTCCAGAATATTTCCCCGCAGTTGACTGCCTGCTTGAACTACTACATTTGATGCTATAATGGTACCATTTTCCACAACTGAGTTCTCTTCTATTATGCAATTATCATCAATAAAACTATTCACAATGTTACAGTTATCTTTTATAACAACATTGTTCATAATGTGGCTTCCTTTGATTGTTACATTATTCCCAATAACACATTGGTTCCCAATCATAGATTTTGTTACAACAGTATTGTCATTTATGTTGGTTTTTGAACCTATTAAAACATTCTCAACCACAGAACTTGATCTGAAAATATAAATAATTTTATTAATATAATTAATATTAATAAGTAATAAATAATGGTTAAAAGTTCAAAACTTAAGTGTACCTGCTTAATGTTGAGTTTCTGTTGCGGAAATTATGATTACCCATATTTAAATAGGTGTTCTGGTAGCATAAACCAGTCTCAATGGACAGTGGATATGTCCAGTTGTGTAATACATCATGGCTGAAATAATAATGAAAATAATGAATGAAAAATATTTGTAAACTTTCTGAAGAAGTTACATAAAATCATTTATGTAAAGTCAAAATATTTAGTTAAAATATTTAAGCTTACCACACTGTTTGGTAAGTTTTCCAGTTAGTAACAGCTGCAGCATATTGATTTCCCTTCAAAAGTGTGTAGTACAGGGAGCTAGCAAGAATTTCTTCATTAATCAAAATACCATGTATAAAATCATCCCTTGTTTGAAAATCAAAGTTATCAGAAAATAATGGAGGCACAGAGGGTGAGCACAAGGCTATGCTTGCATCAATTAGATTATGATGCAATTTCACCTCTGAGTGGTTTAATACAATTTCCTGAAACAACCATACATAACTCTTTAAATAGTGACTAATCCTTGAAACCTTCTCAAAAAGGATAAATTAATATCAAAATTATATTACATTATAAAATATACTGAATTAATATCTTACCAAGGGTAGGTTGATAGATTTCTCAGTTGATTTTGGTTTATACTTTTGATGCATTAGCACTTTTTTAGTATTTGCATTTGCTGCTAAAAATGTAGGTTTATCAGAAGTGATCAAAGGATGCTCCCATGACACCTTTTTGTAGACAAGTGTCATTGCTGCACCTTTATCCTTTTTACATGTCTGTCTGAAATACAATTAGGTATAATTATTAAATTTATTGATGTATCTTTGAAAAAATTACTTGTCTAATGTTTACTTACTTATGTTGCTCCAACAATGACCCAAAATGTATGTTAGTTATACTGTTAACACCAGCTAACACGAAGTACCCTCTAATGAGTCCTGCAGCATCAATTTCTCGCATCACATCTCCCATTGTCTGGCAAGTGTCTGACATCATCACTTGGACTTCCATAGTAACACTCCATATTGCCTTCTTTTCAACACAACTCCTGTACACCATTTTAATTAATTAAAATATAATTAATGAAACTTTAACAGAATTAGCAGGATAGTTCATAATACATACCGAACGTAATCTTTAATTTTTTGTCCACCTTTACAGCAAAACAAAATCACTTCTCCTACTCCCCCACGAGACAGAGATTCCAATGTAAAATCAATTAAAGGCACTCCTGCGACTTGCATAAACCCTGAAATATCAAAATAAGACCTTAAAAACGCTTTTAAATTGATACAAGTCAGTTTGGTAATAATTTGAAAAATTAACTCACCATGGGTTTATTGTCACAAATAGGACTGAAGTGATTGTTAAATGTGTCCATTATAACCACAGCTTGTACAACATTCTCTTTATCTATCTCCATTATGATATTTAGATTTATATTGCTATTTTTCTACTAAATGTTTATCCTGGAACATATAACCTGGACAACACGAATGACACGAACTCGACTTTAATTTTGACATTGAGTTGACATTTTAGGCATGACAAGTAATCATTTTTTTTAATATTACAGGATATCAACAAATTAAGCTTCAGATCAAAACCAATTTCTTTTTAGTTCACATTTTCCTAAGTACATGAATACATTATTCATGCATATTTGATTATCAGCTGCAACAAACAAAATGATATAGGTAGTTCGTGTCTTCGTGATGACATTTGATGATCTAAACCCAAATACAATGCGACTAGAGTTTCAATTGCAAATTATAAAATATTATTTCAAACACAGGCGTGTAAAGTGGTTGCAAATATAGATGTTTGATTATTATTTATTTACTTAATGATTTATTACTAACAAAAAGTACTATAGTTTCTTTTTCCTCTGTATTGTTGAAACTTTCGTTACCTAGGTGTTATTGATTGAATTTATTTTATACACAAATCGGGCACTTTAAAGAACAAACTGTGTTGCATCAAATACAGAATTGTCGCTGTAATTAGGGATTTAATATGGATTACGACTTATCTAGAATAGATTATGGAATATGCGGTATTACTTATCCAGACACTTTAAAAATATTACCACCATCTGGGCAAAAGATGGAACAAAAGGTAAGTAACTTTAATTTCCTTAATCAGGTAGGCCGAAAAAGTATTGTATTAATTAAGTTGGTAAGTACCTATAGGTAAGTACCCATATTAATGAAATCCTATTTCAGTTTGCCATTGGAGATAAAAATGGGGTTTTGCAATGTCTCAGTATAAAAGATGAAGAGCCTGTGGTGCAATTTAAAACATTACCTGGGAAACCAATAACTTCTGTTCAATTAGCCTCTTCAATAGGTATGTTGAAAATATTGTTCTCTTCAGTTTAGGCCTTCGCTTTGCATAGAATTCAGGATTTTGCAAAGAAAAGTAGGTATGTACCTACCGAGAATTTGACTGCACTATATCACGAGATTCACGAGGGACTCGACGCCTCTTTGTTTGATATATAGTTTACTAGCTGACCCGGCAAACTTCGTGCCGCCTCAAAAAACCCTTCTTTTACCCGACTGATTTCTCACCTTTCAAACCTTCCCTAGACTTCCACGAAAATTTCAAGACCAAAATTAGCGAAATCGGTTCATCCGTTCTCGAGTTTTAGCGAGACTAACGAACGGAAATCCATTTTTATTTATATAGATAAATAATGAGTGAGATTTATCTCATCTATAAAAGTGTATGTATGTACCTACCTATTGATAAAAAAAATAAACAAAATATTTAAGGAAGTAAGTAGATACTTAACTAGATAGGTACCTAGGTACTAATAATATAATTAGGTAGATATTAACTCAAAAGGTACTAACAACTCATGCTGTCTCTTTCCTGAACAGCTAGTAAGCTGTTAATGTAAACGATATAATTTAGGTAGGTACTTACGCTTGTGTGGGCGCCGAACATGCTGCGGCGTTTCGCTCGGACGCTGCTCATGTCACAGAGGATCATGGCGATCCGAATGATCCGCGGATACCGCACGCAGATAAGTGCGTGGCGGGATGAGCTCCGGCGCGATCTCATGGCGGAATGGCAGCAACGACTGTCGCAACCGAGGGCTGGGCGCGCTGCCAATGCAGCGGTAAGTCCCCTCTTTGAGGAGTGGCTTGAGAGACGCTATAGCGTCCTCACCTACCGCCTGACGCAGGTCCTCACCGGACATGGAAGTTTCGGGACGTACCTGTATCTGATGGGGCGGGAGGAAACGCCCGGGTGTCATCACTGCGAGGACCGCCCTGAGGACACGGTGGAACACACTGTAGTGGAATGCCCTGCGTGGGCTGAGCACCGCCGTGCCCTCAGGGAAGTGATCGGCGATGGCGACCTCTCGCGTCCGGGCCTAGTGCTGGCCATGATGCGGAGCGAGGGGGACTGGGATGCCGTCTCCTCCTTTTGCGAAGCAGTCATGTTAGCTAAGGAGGAGGCGGAACGCGTGAGGCAGCGAAGCGATGCCTCCTACCAACCCAGCCATCGCGAAGGACACACCGGGCGTCGGGGATCGCGGGACGATCTCCGGTCACCGTAAGCCGATTCGGAGTCGCGGAGAACATAACGGGTAACCGGGGCTCCGGCTCGACGTGCAGGAGAAGGAACGGGGTGGTTTTTAGTCAGTAAGAGTCTGACACTCCCTTCCGCCTCACCCAGGCGGGAGCAGTCATTCGATGATATTCCCCCTTTAAAAAAAAAATCCCCGAGCGTACGGCGCGTTACGCGCGCGCCTCAAAGAGCCACCAGACCAAACGGATGGAGCCCAGTAGGGCTGATGCCGATTCGGAGTCGCGTAGAACCTAACGGGTTACCGGGGTCTAGCTCGAACTGCATGACTAGGAACGGGTGGTTTTTACTCAGTAAGAGTCTGACACTTGGTCCTCGCATTGATGACATCCGGGCGTTTCCTCCCGCCCTATCAGACACAGGTACCTACCACCCGAAACTTCCATGTCCGGTGAGGATCTGCGTCAAGCGGTAGGTTAGGACGCCGTAGCTGCAATGGCAGCGAGCGCAACCCACCCACTACCACTACGAGCATGATTTAATTATTGGAACGTCGCGCTTCGTTTCTGATACTTAGGGCACCTACTACTTACATTTTAATTTTAGGAAGCCAAGCAGATAAAATATTCACCGCATCAGGTAATGAAGTCAAAGGATATACAAGAAAAGGAAAGGTGTTCCTAAGCATTGAAACTTCTTTAACAGAAACAATCACATCAATGTAAGTTATTTGGTAGATTGATTATTACTAAATACTTATATGGGTATCATTGATTGCTTGTTGCTTAATAAATAATAATTTATTTCTAACTAAATCTACCTAATTCAGGGTCCGTTTATATTTCTTTTTAAAGGTATTTACATTTCAGGTGTATAATAGGAAGTGATCTAATACTTTGTAGTGGACGAATAGTCACATACTACCGAGATTTACGGGAATATAACTCATACGTTTGTGACGATAGAGTTCTCGACATAGCAGCATTTGCGGTACCTAATGTCAGAATTATTTATTTGTTTATTCATTCGCACAAAATTTAAACTTTTTAAAAATATTTTAATGTTGACTTCAGAGCACAAGAGTTCGACTGTTGGTATTAATTGCCAATAAAGGAGCCATTCTGCTAGAAAATGGAAAACTGATATCCCGCACAATAATATCGTCGGGCCCGTCACGTCTGACTGTTCCGCCTTCTACTCATGTGACAGATATTATAGCCTTCTACGGAGCTGGTGATGGATCCATAGGCATCATTACTTATGAAGAGCAAGTGTTTATTGTATACTTATACATAAGTAGACGAACTATTTTACGGCTAAAGGAGCCATACACGCTAGGTTTTGATATCCCATACATGATGGTTTTAGCAGTGCATACATAACCGACAGGCACAGACAGGTACAGACAGGTGCTCGGTTATGTTTGTCAGTTTTGCATGCAAAGTTATAACCATCATGCAAACCCTAGCGTGTATGGCCTCCTTTAGTCAGTTCGTATATGTAGGATTCCTAGTATTTTTTTAAAACCAACAACATGCTTACATGCCTAAGTATTTACAAATTTCCAGATTAACGCTATCAAGTAAATGCCTAGTTGATGGCAGAGGTCTGGGGTCCGTGGTATGTCTTGGTTGGTATTTTAACAACGGCAATTTCCACCTTAGCGTTGGTCGACATGATGGATCCATTCAACTTTACCTTGTCGATATGGAGAATTTTGGTGAAAAACCTCGACTTAAGTACACCTATGTAAGTATCAGTACCTATACCTAAGTACATATTATGGTATAGGTAATACTCTTGTTTATATAACTAAATAAGTGTAATGATTACTTACGTCTATTACTAATGTTTTAGTTTTGCGGAGAACCTGTTACTTCTGTAGTGGGTGGGTGCCTAGGTACCGAGGAATCTGAATTACTCGTAGCTACATTTTCGGGAAGAATTTTCGGTCTCAGATCTAGTCACTTGGTTACTGGAGCTAAAGTTCCGCAAGACATCTTGGCAACGAGGCGAGGAAAGCTGGAGTATGTCAATTACTATTTATAAAGACTTTATACTATGATTGAACAACTTTGTTTACATTTTATGGCCGCCAAGCCGTCTTTTTTCTTTACCTCTACATGGCCCTATTTTGATATCGCACCTCTGAATAAGTAGGTATCTAATGATATAAAAAATGGGAACATGGAAAAGTTAAAATGTCGTGACCTAAATTATGTTTTTTATTTAAATTCAAGGCATTTATTGTTATCAGGGTGGAAGTAGCGCGTTTGGAGAAACAAACTGCAAATGAAAGAGAAAAATATCAACGTAATACTCGATCTTTGCAAGCTGGGTTATCAACTCCACCACTACTGGATATAGAACATGAAGTGGGTTTCAACGTCTCGAAATGGAAATATGCTATTTTATATTTAGATACCTACAAAAAGACTTAACTGAATTTTACAGCTGTTGGGAGCAACTAATGACGGATGGCAAGAAGTAAGAATTACCTCGGCAGTGCCCCTTGACATGCTTTTTATTAATTCTAATAAGAAACTGGAAATGCAAACTGACACTGCTGCAGTTCTCAGCATATGCTCATCCAAGGTATCATCATCAAATGGATACCTACTTACCTACGATATTAGTATTCAGATTCAGTCTTCTATTATGAATTCAAAAGTAGTTTGAAAGAAGATTGAATAAATCCCGGGTACGAATGAAAAATGTATCTAATTTAAAAAATTAGACAACAATGTTTGTACCTAAAAAGTTAAATTTTGTAGAGAGAATGGCAATTAATATTGACTTTGTGAAGTTACCACAGCGAACCCGCAAAATTAGTACTAGACTGAGACTAAGTATTTAATTACTTGAAAATTGAAACTTTTTAGGAGGCCGCATCCGATTTGTTGGCTTCAGTTAGATGTCAAGCAGGAACAAGGAGAGTTTGGGTAAAGATGCGTGAAATTTATAATTTATCTACGGGGTCAAAATTCGAAGGAAGTCGAGTACTGATATACGCTTTACCAGCAGGTGCTCCTAGAGTGGCTCGACTAGTAACTTTAAAACTACCAGCTTTGCCATACTATTCCAGCCATGAAGCATTAGAGAAGAACTTTGAAAAGGAAGAAAGGTATTTCCTATCTTGTTATTAGAATTTTTGGAATGTCTTGATGTGTGCAGCCTTTTATAAGTGCAATTTTTTAGAGTTTGGTGCCAACTGGAGATTTCGGGTAACTTTTCCGTGGCTGAAATTACTTCTTGGCTCACAGAAGCACTACCGGGTGAACTGCCGAGACCAGCTTCGAATGTATCATTTACTCGATCACATACTCTTCTGGACACCATCCTCGTTTGTCAATATGAGTGAGTTGCTTATATTCGAAATAATAGCGTTTAATTTTCCTTAATATCTACAACTTAATCTATGTTGCAGACAGTGCAAATAGTGAAAAGTGGGTGTTACTTCTGTGTACACCTCTGCCTACCCCTTCGGGGATAAAAGGCGTGATGTTATGTTAATCTATGTTGCAGACGAGGCCACGCAACATTCAAATCTGATAACGTCTCAACAATAGCGACCATTCGAAACATAGTGTCGAACTGCTCCGTCGAGAAGAGCATTCGCGTGGAAATGTCTTGTGGTATGTGAACTAAAACAAATATTCGTTCATTTTATATTTTCGAATATTGGACTGGTTTGCTGGTGCAGTAGTTGGTCGACCATTTCGAAATTATTTTTGTGTGACCCATTTGTACCTACCTACAATATTGCTGTTATTCTGGGACTACTAAATGGGGCTACATTTAAAAATATATATTTTATTTGCAGATATTCCTCATAATTGTTGTTTAGAATCTTTTAAGCAGTTGGAAAATAAATTTAAACAAGAATATAAGAAAAGTAAAGATATAATCTTGAAAAATGCTATCAGGTGGGTCCATGTTACAGTTATTGTAAAAATCTCTGTAAGTTTATTCGGGTGATGTTAGGTGACTATTGACTTACTTCACCAAAAAGTAAAAAAGGTTTCTCAAACATTTCAGTATGTTGGATTTGGACAGTTCAATGAATGAGGAAGGTCCCATATTGTGTCAAGACTATGCTAGAGTTTGGGATTCAAGAGACAGTATCAATGAAACTCGATTTGAGGAGCTTGTAGGTAAGTTCACATAATTTAACAATAAGTAACATACTGAGAGGTGCTATTTGATGTGTGGTTGCTTTATTTAATTTTTACAATACATTTACATATAATTTACATTTTCAGACATAATATTACAATGGTATTTGGACTGGAGAACACTATCCTTACTTGAAAACTTTAATAATGAAAGTACTAAGCTTGAAGCAGCTTTGAAAGAATGTAAAGTGGATGATATTATTAAAATACTCTCCAAAAATTTGTCTTAACTCTTTGAGTACCGTTATTATTATAGACACAAAGAACAATAGGTTGTGGTCACCGGTGACCTCTTGGTGTTTGACAGTTTAAAAGAGTAATAGTAAGTAACATACAGCTAAAGTAAAAAAAAAACCTTTTAGTTTTTCAAATGATTTTTAGGTCCATGTAAGTATGTATTTTTTAATAAATCCATTGTTTTTGTATTTCTGTTTAGTTATTTAAACATATTTTTAATATTATGTGAAAGTGGATAATTCTTTTGTAGCTCCATATCATAGAGATAATAAAAAGCATCATTGTTTTTTAATGTAGTTAACTTGGTTATATGTTGATCAAACTCATGTATTGATTGGAATTGTTCAGTTAAAAATACAGATGTGATAAAATCTACATAATGAAAATCTTTGACTTCTTCTGCAAGTTTTATTCCTTTTTCTATAAGCTGGTGAATTAAACCAAAAAGGACTAGTTAATTTCAAAGCTAAGTGAAATTAATAATAAATATTATTAATGTTGAGAAACGAAAATGTTCATTTTCCTTACCTCAGTTATATTTTTTTCCATGCAAAGGCCTTCTTTAAATGCATCAAGTATAGTAAGATTTTTATGTTGGTCTGGTGGTTCAAGGCCTGATATCAAGGGAGCTCCCCCTCGTAATAACTGATAATTTATGAGTTTGAGCATGTGTTCTAGTTCATCATTATACATTTTCATAAAGAATCCTCCAACACCTAACAGTGATTTAGAAGGATGTAAAAAAGTCACAGCTATATTTAAATAATTCTGGCTGGCTTGTTGCTCTGCTTTAATTTGTATGTTTATTAACTCTTCTATTCTTGAGTTACAATTATTTTGTGAGTAATGCCTCCTATTATGTGCAGTTATACTATGCACCTGTTCCTTCAAACCTAATTTTATAAGTGCATAATATCTCCACTTGAAATACATTATACCTATTTATAGGATAGGATAAATTCTTGACAATATGTCAATAAAATATATAACACCAATGACACTTTATATTCCAGTAGGCAATGAATCATCCGACTAGTAGAAAGAATAAAAATATTATTTAAAACACTTATCAATTATTTATTGGTATATTATTTCTAAAATTCTAGGTACACTATTAACAATTAAACACTACTACTATTTATATATTTAATGTACTCACTTCTGGAATGGGTAATAATCCAGACCAGAATTGTATTTAAATTTGTAAGTGAAACGATTTACTTGTGTTTTGCCCACTTCAATCATTTTCTTAACCTCGTCTCGGTAAGCAGGAGGTAGGAGTTCTTCTTCCAGAGTACAATGGTTGCTGCCACTTTCTTCATTTTTAAAAACCCGTTGTCTTATAACATCGACATCTCTACTATATTCTTCTTTTAGATCGGAAACTGCTTTTGTTGCTGTATCGATTTTAAATACAAAATAATTTGCCTCTCTGTGGACTAGTCCATGAGCAGTAGTTTTGTAAGGCATAGGTCTATGTCCCAAGTTTTCTATGTTTCTGATTATACCGCCTCGGTCAAATATTGCATGTGAAATTCGCTTAAGAGTAGTTTTAAGTTCCGGTTTAGGCATAGAACGCAACATTAAAGCTACTTCGTAAGTCGGCATTTTTAATTCAATTTAATAATATGAAACTCAATAATTATAGGTTAAGTTTCCACTTGACACTGTCACCACTTGTCACTAGTCACTTTTAAGTTTGACAGTGACAGTTCTAAGCATAGAACTTAGACCATAGAGATTCTTGTCCTGAGTCTTGGCGGAAACACATTACCATGGCGAAGTTTGAGGTAGTGCATCAGAACCACATTGGTTTCATATATTTACTAGTTAAGCAACACTATGTTTTGAATGTTGTCATTTCTTGCTGCGTAAGTGACCATGACTTGTTGCTGATTGGTGGTCACGGCTCCATGACATTTGTCCACAGTTTATAGCACAGAAAATGTATTTAACTCAGAGTCCATTTATCATACACCAAAACTATGACTTTATTAGTTTAAAGAAAAAGCTGACGAAATTGATCTCTCGCATGACTTTATTTGGTTGGCTAACTTTTCATTTATGTTTCAAAGTTCAGACGTGCTCCATCATAGGCCGCATCATCGCTTATTCGCTTACTACCGGGTGAGATAATGTCCAAATGTCGGCCACGGGCCCATCAAATCAAAAGTATAAAAACTAACCTGAAATAGAGTATGTTATATTTTGTTTCAATTTGCTTTCCTCATAATTTGAACTTTTGTACATTAATTATCGCGCTAATCACTCCAACAACTGAATCGAATTGCATAATATTTGTTTATAAGATTCTCACTTCCTAATTCATTGCAGTCTCGTTGCTACATCTCAAGGTATATTATGTTTATTCTTCTATATCTATCTTCTATATCTATTCTATATTCTATCTATATCTTCTATATCTATACATATAATAAAATTGTAGAAAAGTGCTGTCTGTACATTGAAAATAAAAATAAAAAAAATAGCAGGGCTATTGTTATGTCGATGTCGACCCCAAAAATGTAATTAACTTTTTTTTTGTCTGTTTGTCTGTTCACGCTAATCTCAGAAACGGCTGATCCGAGTTGGATGCGGTTATGGGACAAATATATTGTGGTATGCTTCAGTTATGCTTTAGTGTTTGTTTCATGTCAATCGGTTCATAAGTAAAAAAGTTATGTCAAATTAAAGAATCACGTCGAACACTATTCTATGCTTATACATACAAAATGACTCTGATTATGATCCAAAATAGAAATAAGTATATATTTAAAAAAACGCTGCTCATAGTCACTATTCCACGTGAACGAAGTCGCGGGCACAGCTAGTGTACAATACATGTATGAAACCATTATGCCGAGGACTACTGCCAGTGACATATTCGGTTGGGAGCACAACGACACGTTGCGCCACGCTAATATATTTCTGCCATTACGTCGCCTGAAAAAAAAAAAACGTTTGACCAAAGACTCATCAAAGACACAAGCAAGACAGAAGACACCAATCAAAAATCAAATCAATCATGGCGACAGCGTGCGCTTTGCTTTGCTGAAATATTTTAGATTGACTGGGAATTACAATATTCTTGTACGATCTCAATCATGGGATCATATGCGAAATTTGTTTCCGATTACTGTAAAACTTGGGAGAAATCCGGAAAGGAGCAATTGTGAGTTTCAGATTCTAAATTGTTTAACAATAGTGACGACTGAGTCTGTTATCCAGTAATTTAATATTACAAAACATTATTAGTGTCAATACAAATGGATATACAAAGAGTACATTCAAAAAATGCCCTGGCTTGAAATTGCTACTAAAAGTCCATACATAAAAGTACACAGAACATAGCTATTTTATTTTTTGCACATGCTGGACCTAATGGAAGATTTAAATTACCTACTCATTTACTTAAACTTTGTGTTTAACAAGTTTAATACTACTATTTTGTGCACACAATAGCTCTTAAAGGCGAATGGATTGCAAAACCAATTTAAAAATGTTAAAGAATTAATATTTCATATCATAATAACAAAAAAAATCCAGTACCAGTTGTTCAGATTACTACCTAGTACCTACTAGGTATATGTATACATCGTTAAGTGCACTGTGTTCCAAAACATGTTCTGTACTGCATTGTATAAAATAATTTATTTTAACATTTTTGGTTAAGTTTTCTTTATGTCCATTTTGTCATTTATAACAAATCTTATAATATCCTATTTTAATATTTTAACGTTCTTCTACACTGAGTACTGCACTTGTTTACAAACTCTTAAACATTTTAGTCATGTACAATTTAGTAAATGATAGAAGAAAAGCACACCATCTTATATCTTTTTCTATTATTATATAAAGCTGAAGAATTTGTTTGTTTGAACATGTTAATCTCGGGAACTACTGAAACTGAACTTCTTTTTGAAAAAATATTTTTGTGTTGGATAGTAGATATTTATGGAGGAAGGTTATAGACTATAAAACACACTACAATCAATAAGAGCCAAGCAGAACGGGTAAAATCATGCGGGAAGTAGCTAGTGTATAAATAATGTATTTGGGTTCATGGTTAATTTAATCATTGCTTACTTTCAGTGTTAAACATGTGACTCAATTCATTAAGGATGAAGACAAAAGTCCACTTTTTACTAAATCCGGCAAGCTTTCTGGTTTGTCTCAGACCATGTATGACTTATTACTCTGTGGTCTTCGTGGGAATCTTAAGAAAGAAGCTGTTCTTTCTGTTCTCCGTGATATAACAGTAAGTTTTATGATCATATAAATGTTACAGTCTCTACTAAATGATAATGGACGTTAAATAATTAGAATTTGTACTAATGAGTTATAATTCTTTATAGGTATTGCACGCAGACATACCATCAGTGATTTTAGATGTAGTGAGTGTTCTTGATGCTGAGACCTGTTCAGATGTCCAAAGTGAAGAGCGCACAAACTTTTGCTACATTGTTAGGGAATTGGAGTCTTTTTTATCGGATAAACTTTTAAAAGAAAGATTAGAAATTGATACATTGCAAGATGCTGGTACTTTAAAGAATAAACTATTTTATACCAAATTTATTAAAATCAAGACTAAGTTGTAGTAAGTATTTATTTTTTTGTTCATTATTATGAGAAAAAATGTATAAAATTCCTTTGTAATGATGTCATCCATAGTACTAAATTCAATTTCTATTTCAGTTACAAGCAACGTAAGTTTAATTTGTTTAGAGAAGAAAGTGAAGGTTATTCCAAGTTAATTGTTGAATTAAATCATGAAGGTGTTGATAAGGCAGATTGGAAAAGTTTACTGGAAATAATTCAGTCTCTAATAGGTAAGTGTTACTAATCATATATTGAGTTGTAGATCTATGTGATACAGTGATTTGAATTTATGATAATTATTTTCTTTTCATTTAATTTTAGGTTGTTTTAACTTGGACCCCAACAGAGCATTAGATATAATACTAGAATCATTTGAGTCCCGTACACACTCTGATCAATTGTTTATACCTCTTATAAAAAATTATATGGGTGATCCTCAAGTAATTTCTGAAGTTTTGGGCTTTAAGTTAGGGAACATGGAAGTACTAGAGAATTATAAGGAACCTCCGCCATTGATGACAGTCATAGCTTTACTTTTACAACACCAAGTCATTGCTCTTGATGATATCTATCCCTGGGTAAGTAGTTATTTTATTTTACATAACATGATTATAATATCCACACCTCAAAGGTGTTGGCAGAGGAATACAAGTTCGAAGTAATACCTACTTTATGAGTTCTACATAATGAGAGTGGGCTTGGTGAATATATACCTGGTGAATACCAGGCGCCAACTTTATACTATATCTGAGATTTCTCAGAAATCGAAAAGAATCAAAAATGTCTTATGACAAACAGAAAATGAGACCTATGTTTATCTCTCATGGCAATCAAACTTTCAGTATTATGTTGAGCCAATGAAGTATTAGCATATTTTTAAATAACTGCATTATAAACTTATAATTGCAAAATTAGGAACTAAAGTCATAATTAATATTTTAGCTCAGACCTGATGATTCTATAATGGCAAAGGAAGCAGACAAGGAATTGAAAACAGTCCAAGACTACATTCGTAAACTAAGCATTGTGTCCACTAAGGGGCCACAAGCCAATGGAGCTGCTGAATTTGTTGAAGAAAAGTCTGATCCTCAGGTATACATTATATTTTACTTTTTAATTTATTTTTTACTTTCCAAAATATAATTTTTAAGTAATATAATGATGTAAAATTTTATATTGAGATACTGTATGGATTATATATTTTTGCAATGACTGATTTTTGTTCCTTCTCATTAGGAATACTGGAGCAACCAAAAGTTGGTGTTATGTGAAGCTTTACTGAAGGTGAATGCATGGCGTGAGTTCGCGGCCCTGTCAGCCCGACTGCCCACTAACATCATGCCACAGCGGCCCGCTGTCGCTCTCTGTAACATGTTACATGCTCTCGTCGAGCCACTATACAGAAAGTATGTATTATACACGAAGCATTTGTGTAAACATGTCGTTTGTATAATTTAATGCTTCTTTTGAAATAAATAGTACTTAAACATAATTAGGATTATTAATTGTAAAATTTTATTTTCAGTAACTGTCGCGTCGCCCCTAAAATAATAGGAAAACTCATTCCACCATTAAAGTCGACTTTGGCACCTCAAGCATGCAAGACATTTGAAGACATGAAGGAAACAGTGATTCCTGCCCTGGTATTATTAGGACCATCACTTCACTATGATCCTATTTTAATGTACAAAGTAAGCAGACCTAATGACTTAATGATTGACTAAAACCTTGTATAAATTTTGAGTATCTACAATATACGTTTATTTTTTAGATTATTCGTATATTAAGGACTGCGCGTTCGCAAAAAGAAGATCCTTTGCATCATGAAGCGCTTACAGTTTTGGACGCTGCCATACTACCAGCCCTCACTTTAATGGATGGCAACTGTTGTATGGCTGAGGAGGTGTACACTTTGTTGAAATTATACCCATATCAATGCAGGTAACTAAATTGTAATTTTATTTCTTTTAATGATGAATGAAATGTAATAAATGTATGACTTAAGATGTCTTTAATTTTTTTCAATAGGTATTGCCTATATTCTCGCTGGAAAAACGAAGCTGCTGAGAGAATACCATCTTTGATGCGCGTACGTGGCAATTCCCTACAAAGAATCAAGCACATCATGAAACGTGTCTCTAAAGAAAATATAAAACCACAAGGTCGCCTCATCGGGAAACTCTCGCATGCTGCGCCGACTTTAATTTTTGACTACATGCTACTTCAGGTACGTGCTCATATAATTTATTTCGTACGATTCGATGCGGCGGTCGGCGAATTTTTTCAATTGTGAAAAGTATCGGATCGAATTGAAGCGAGCGTGTGTTGCGGCAGATCCAAACGTACGACAACCTGATCGGTCCGGTGGTGGAGTCCCTGAAGTACCTGACGTCGCTGTCGCTGGACGTGCTGGGCTACTGCCTGCTGGAGGCGCTGTGCGCGGGGCGCGCGGGCGGCGGCGCGGCGCACCCGGCCTGGCTGCAGGCGCTCGCGGCCTTCGCGGGCGCCGCCTTCAAGAAGCACAACATCGAGCTCACCGCGCTGCTGCAGTTCGTCGCCAACCGACTTAAAGCTCAACAAAGGTAATCATAGCGGAAACTTAGCTTATATTCTAAATTCGAAGAATAATTTGGTGATTCCATGATTGTTAAGCTAATGTTATGATTGTTATTGTTTTTTTAGCCAAGATCTACTGATATTGAAGGAGATAGTTCAGAAGATGGCTGGAATTGAAGCTGCTGAAGAAATGACACCTGAACAATTAGAAGCTATGGCTGGTGGTGAACTTCTGAAAGGAGAGGTAAACAATCACCACCAGTAGGTAATTAAATTCTTTTTCTTCTAGCTTGCAGGGGTAAGAAGTTTAATTATTACATTTTCTGTAACAGGCTGGGTATTTTTCTCAAGTACGAAATACGAAGCGATCATCAGCGAGACTAAAGGAAGCCATTGTCGGAAATAACTTGGACATCTCATTGTGCATACTGGCTGCACAACAACGTCATTGCTGTGTGTGGAAAGGTAAATTAAGTATTATTTGAAGTAATGATTGACAAATTATTACTATTATCGAAAAGTCAAAACAACTACTGGCTTTTAGTATAAAATATATCTTTCTTGTTGTAATAGAGTACGATGGAGACTCTGTATCAAGCAGTGAGCCTCCTGGGTCCCAACTGAAAGTAGTTGGTCGGTTAGCTGACCAGTGTCAAGATGCTTTAGTACAACTTGGAACGTTTTTGGCGTCATCCCACGCTCCTGACGAATATGCTGCAAGGTTGCCGCCTTTACAGGTAAAACTTGTAATATTTACTTTTCTAAAACATTTCAATATGACATATTTGTTGTATTGTATGATTTGTATGTATAACGTTTTCAGGAACTCCTTCGAGATTACCATGTAGATGCTGATATAGCATTCTTCCTTCATCGTCCTGTGTTAGCTCAAAAAATTAATGCAAAAGTGGAATCTTTACGAAAACTTTCCGACAGCAAATCAGACTCGATCGAGAAGAGTATCGAGAGATACACACAGGCATCACATGAAGCTTTGGAACCTATTGTTCAGTCTGTAACACCTATATTGCCAAATAAAGTTTGGGAAGATATTTCTCCCGAGTTTTATGTCACATTCTGGTAAGTAAACATGGCTTTTCTATTTTGACAACAAAAAAATTAAAAATTTCTGTACAACATGACGTCATTCTACAATTTTATTAATATTTGCAGGTCTTTGTCTATGTATGATCTGCGAGTTCCAGAGGAAAGTTACGATAGAGAAATCGAACGTTTGAGAACTGCCGCCGCTAATGCGGCAAAGGATATGTCGCAAGGGACAAAGGGTAAAAAGGAGCAGGACCGTTTTAATGCACTCATTGATAAACTTCAGGTAAATGTTAAACCAGCAGCTGTAGCCAAATGCCATTTAGCGCTTGTCTACATGTAGAATAGAAAACCAAATTATATGGGATTGACGTAAATTTGGACACTTGTCAGTGTCATCCCCATACATTTAAGTTCTACTCTCTCTGTAGACAAGCGCTAAAGTGGCGTTTGGCTAAAGGCCCAGGACCGGCGGAGTGTAGTGAGTGAGCGTGCGATGTAACGGCCGAGTGTGCAGGAGGAGCGGCGGCGCCAGGCCGAGCACGTGCGGCGCGTGCTGGCGCGCCTGGCGGCCGAGTGCGGCGCCTGGTTCCCCGCGCGCGCCGCCAAGTCCGCCAAGAACGAGACCGTGACGCGCCTCATGCAGCTGTGCCTGTTCCCGCGCTGCGTCTTCACTCCGGCCGACGCGCTCTACTGCGCAGAGTTCGTCCACACCGTGCACTCGCTGCGCACCCCCAACTTCTCCACCCTGCTCTGCTACGATAGGGTGAGCGTGCACGATCTTACTTATTTCGCTTATCGAAACGATATGAAACATATTTTTCAATTTATCATTGATGCTATATTTTTATGAAAAAAGGAATGATCGGTTGTTGTGTTACAGTTGTTTTGCGATATCACATACTCGGTGATGTCGTGCACGGAGGGCGAGGCGGCGCGGTACGGCACGTTCCTGTGCAAGGTGCTGGGCACGGCGATGCGATGGCACGCCGACAAGCAAGCCTTCCATCGCGAGTGTGCGCACTATCCGGGCTTCGTAACCAAATACCGCGTCTCTAACCAGTTTACTGAAGCTAACGACCATGTCGGCTATGAAAACTACAGGTACGAATTCATTCTAATTCAGAGAAATAGTGTTCATTCATTATTTTCGGTAACAAGAATTAATCTATATTCATATCATTTTTAGGCATGTTTGCCACAAATGGCATTACAAGATTACTAAAGCCATGGTGGTGTGCTTGGACTCGGGCGATTATGTACAGATACGGAACGCGCTTATTGTACTTATAAGAGTGTTGCCACACTTCCCAGTTTTAGCTAAACTGGCCCAAATAATTGAACGGAAAATTGATAAAGTAAGTATTAATGATTTTTTTTTATGGCATAAGCCGGTAAACGAACAGACGGATCACCTGATGGTAAGCAATCGGCGTCGCCCATGGACACATGGAACACCAGAGGCGTTACAAGTGCGTTACCGGCTTTTTGGGGATTAGGAGTTTGAGGATCGTTGGGGATTCAGGGATTGGGGAGATTGGGGAAGGGGAGGCTAATTGGGCCTCCGGTAACCTCACTAACACGACGAAACACAACGCAAGCGTTGCTTCACGTCGGTTTCTGTGAGGCCGTGGTATCACTCCGGTCGAGCCGGCCCATTCGTGCCGAAGCATGGCTCGCCCACACTTGGATTGAATAATTTATATACATTTATTTTAAAATGATTTCTAAATTTAATAAATTCTAATTTCTGCAGGTGAAAGAAGAAGAAAAGACACAGCGACAGGATCTTTATGTACTTGCTACAGGGTATAGTGGACAGTTGAGGAACAAGGGGCCCACGATGATGCGGGAAAGTGATTTCCATCAGGTAGGAAAATATTAATATCGGATATTTTGGTTTCTCCCATAAATTCAACACACGTCTACTTAATGCTACCTCATTCATCCCTTCCATCGGGCTATGTATCGTAATGTTAATTACTAATCAGTCAGTAGACGTCGAGTAGTTGTACAGTAAGCCACTCTGGTACAGGTGGGCGACAAGCACAAGGTGGCGGGGGTCCCGGCGGCAGCGGCCCCCGCGCCGGCCAAGGACGACGTCGGCACCGCCAAGCCAGACAACGAGCCCGCACCCTCGCCTCCACAAACTGTTGGTAAGTACCATGTATCTACTAATAGTATATTTGAAATATTTAAGTGAGTGGTAGGTAGATTGTGTTGAAATTTAACAGTTCCATTTTATTTACCATTTCTACCATTCCTTTTTCAATACCTACAGTATTTGGCAACCATATTCCAAAAGGTTCTTAAGAATTGGTTGGATAAATTCAAAAATTTTATTGTATTGAAATTTTTAATATTTTATAGTATTGAAAATGGAAACCATTTATTTTTGACTGAGGAAAATACCCAATTATTACTTGTATTTTCATATTTATAGATGTTGAGAAAAAGGAATCGAGGAATAATGACAGGCGCCGTGAAGAAGTTGACCGTGAAAAAGAATCGAAACGGGAATCACGATCGTATGTATTGAGACTTAGTTAATTCTGATATTTCATTTTATAAATGCTATACAGTTATTTATATTTTTCAGTACTCTCAAGGAACGAGGTAAAGAGGAAGTCAGAAGTAAAGATAGATCCCCGCGGGAACGCTCACACAGGGTGAATATTTTTACGTTATAATGACATTATTTTGCCAGTGAAACAGTTTATTTATTGTTACTTAATATTAAAGTTGCCTTTTTTATATTTAGGAGGAACGATATTTGGAAACGGTCTCGCCACCACATGACCATCGCAGCGCACCCGATGATGTAGAACGTGGTAAATTATAACTTTGTATTTAATTTAATGTAATCTGTGTATAATTCAATAAAAGCAAATGTAATGACTATCATAAATGTTTTGCAGATGTAAAGCGACGTAAAGTAGAAAACAGCGGCAATGGCAAGGTGAGTATTGTTGTAATAAACCGACCTTGCATCGCGCTCGCACCTGACTGAGGATTGGGCTGGACCACGACCACGACGTGCCGCACGATCGCTATAAAATATACAAATCCAAATAGTGTTCAAGATCATCGGACTTCGTGTTATACAGTGCAATAGAAACTATAGACTTAATAACAGTGCTAATAAAATGTAAATAAAACGAAACTAAATGTATCAACAATAAAATAAATACTTAAACTAATTAAAAAAAACAATTGAAAACGTCAAGACTCTGCAGTTGAATAATCGTCGTTGACATGCTTATCATCACTGGATACAACAAAGAAGAGAAATTGTCTTCACAGGAGTGATTGAAGAAATGTGTTATCAATTGAAAAGGAAAATGTTAACCAAGAAAGTAATACTAATGAAAACAACAATTGAATCCTACTTGTGAATAATCTCAACATTTCATAGCGAAAAGTACAAACCAACAATGAAATAAAACAATCCCGATCTCACCGCTCTATGGGGAGCCAACTAACTATCATTCTCCATGAAGATTCAACAAGAGGAAGACTGCTACAGAAGAAAAATATATACAAAAATAAGAAGAGTGTAAAAGCAAAAAGTTAATTCAAATTCAAACTTCTCAGGAAGAGAATACAAATGTTCCAATAAAAAAAAAACAAATTAACATCAAGACGTTTTAGGTTGCGTAAACGTAAAGGCAGTACCTATTCAACTAACAACAAAATGTAAGCCTAAGGAGAGTACTCTCGTGTGTCGTAAGTCCATTCAGCCCAGTCCAATACGATACGGTAAGGCTTGTTAGTATATTTTACAGTCAAAAGGTCCTGTGAATAAAGAACAGAAATAGATCCTGCAAAATCAGATGCAAAGAAATGTCCAATATGCATTATTTATTATGAATATTACTGCCTCAACAAGATGCTCAGATATATAATAAAGAAGTATTTGAAACGACTACCAGCTGATAAGCTTGTATGGACGGCAAGTTGTATAAGAAGAGTTAAGAAATGGAGTCTAAATTTCAAGATTTAACGTTAACGTTATCGTCCATGTAGAACAGATATAGATGAGCCATGATGCAATGTCTACAGTTTCCTCAGAACCACAATGATCACCACAGTCACCATTTCTCACAAAGTACCTACTTCATCGCTGAACAAATTGAATGCTGTTTTGTAAACATCTCAAGATGAAGAGATTGAATTTAATGGAAACACGAAGACTTAATTCAAAACAATAGATGTTTTTCTTTATTCATAGTCCCTTTTGACTTTTATTGTTCATTTAGGTTGAACAAATTTTGTTCAGTTGCAGTTTGCTAATGTAATTGTAATACTTCATTGATTTATGCTTTTTTATAATTTTACAAGAGTGACAAATATTAATATCATTTTTCTGCAAAAGCAGGGTAACAAAGACATAGAGGAACGTTCGCCTGAAAAAGAAAAACGAAAGGCTAAATTGAGGGGTGATGAACGTAAAGAGCGTAAGATGAATCGCAAAAGGGTAAGTATTATGCATAAAAAATGACTACAATATACATACACTCTGTCTACCAAAATTATCTTCAGTAATTTCATACAATTTTGATTTAATATTCTTTTTGTTTAACAAAATGCATCAAGATCACCAAATATGGTCCGTTTTGTCATTTTTAACGCAAGAAATACAGGGTAACTTTAGTTTCGGTTAATATTTCCACCTAACGTTGTCGTAGTAAAATATTGGGCTGTAAATGACTTTGGAGCTCTTCTATCCAGTTTTATGGCCCAGAATTTATAAGGAAATGGCTTTATTACTCTGATGACCATTTTGCAGAATAAAAATATAGTTTTAATACTGTTGTATTAAAACTATATTTTTATTAATGGGGTGTTCCCCATTACACAGCAAAGTGGTCATACAGGATTAAAAGTTTAATTTAACTTTACCCATAGATATTAGGTGATCCACGAAAATGAGAGTTTATTTCAATGCTTACAGAGCACCAAATCAATATTTAAGTAAAACAATTTTATTATATCCTGTACGGAAGTACAATTTAATGTAAATTGAACTAAATTTTATGAAAATCATTTACATAGGACAGAGCAGAAGAATCCGTGATTTTGGAGCAAAAACGGCGACGAGATGAACAAAAAGGTGCGTTAGTCTTTAGTTATTTATTTGTAGGTATACTTACTAACATGTGAAGAGTTTATTTTAACGCACTAATCGCAATCCGGAAGTACTGGTTGAAATTGAAAGCTATGACCTATATAACATTACACTACGAGCAATATAGCCAAGCAGCAGATGAAGCTGCGCGGGAGTAGCTCTTACAAGCTTTAGTCATTTTTTTATTAACGTAATTCAATATTAGGTTAGGTGCATAACACGTAATAAATACTTTGTAAATGAACAAAAGTACGATTTGGTTTTATAGTTAGTTCAAAGTTATAGTTTGAACGGAACCGCTGTGCCACACCTTAGAACGGCGTAGTTTGGTGGAGCCAAGTAGGAAAAGTATGGTTCATTGTTATTGTGAACGGATCTTATATCAATTAAGTGATGTATGAAAATACCAATGTGGACAGTTGGAAATTAATAAGAAATAAAATCGGGCTTCGACACGAGATATCAGATTTCAGCACCGCCTATCTTTGATAGTATAAGATGTACATAGTACATGTCATACGCAGCTAACACAGATACCTAGTTTGATACAAGTAACACTAGCTACCGTTACGAGCACTAGACTGACGGCAGACTGATAAACCGCAAAGTTACTTATCTCGGTCGAACTGTGTATAATATTCAATACTCAGCACTTATTGCAATCCACATTGTTGGTACTTGGCTAGTAAACACATATAAAGATTACATTTGTTTCATCATAGTGAAAGTGAGTTGAAGTGAACATTTTTGTGCCAAGTACTTTGTCTTTATAACTCTGTCACTTACATATTCGTTTACCATACGATTGTATACTTACTAGTCTAGTGACTACTAGGCTAGCTAAATATGAACTACTAGGTAACTGTAATTTAATCTTGTTTTATTTTAGCAGTTATCAAAATGGGAAGTCATCAAAATGGTTCGCAAGAGGATCATCACTATGAAAAATACCACAAAAGGGTAAGAAACACAAAAGCTAAAAAAATGTACAGAACCGTGTATACGTACCATATTAAAATAAGTCATAAAACCGCTTATGTTTAGTAAGCATATTGGTGTCGTAACTATAGTAACCACGCCCATTGCTTTAATTGCCATTGTTGACGGTCCCCGACATATTTTATCGTGCAATACTGCTTGTAACTACAGGTCCCTGGTGTGGTTTGATACTAGTCGAGTCACCTCGTCAAAATTTTATGTGAGCAAGCCGGATATTATAATTAAAATATCTAATGTTTTCGTGGCATTTCATTACAAATGTTTCCTAAGGTTTTTCACTTATGAAAACAAGGTAACTAGTAATATTAATATGGTAGTTTGCCCTTCTTAAAATATTTGTGAAGCTGAAGACGCCGATTTGAAAATATGAAAAATGTTGGACAGAAAAGGAAGAACTTAATAATAATGGTTATTGTTGAATTACTACACACTTGTTAAAAACTAAAACGATAGCATATCGACTGTTTTATTAATTAGTCTATCCTAAAATAAATAACCCTTAAAGGAACACTGAACCCAGAATACTAATGGAATAGTCTGTTTGTCGCAAAAATTGCACTTATTAATGAATTTATATGTTAAATAGACATTAATATGTTATTTACACAGCACCACAGTTTGGTACAGTGTATATATAAATATACATTTCCTTTTATTTCAATTCACAGGAAAAATCACCATTCCGAGATCGTTCACACGAAGAACCAAGAGACAATAAACAATATCCTTTTTAATATCGTCACATATGTAGGTGTATAACAGTATTATGAATTTCATATTATAAAATGTCACGCAAAATTTCGACATATTGACTCCCTCCTGTCTCGTCCCCCGTTACGCGTTTTTGCGATACCTTTAATATGTGTTGTATACCCTGTGTAAATACCTCTCCTGATTGTTGTTCCGTAATGTGGATGACCCCTTATGATTAATGTTTAAATTTTTAGGCCATACACGACACCCTAAAATGATGGGTTTATTTTAATTAATGAAATTTACGTAAACTGGATTGGTATATTTAATGTTGCAGCCAACTAGTTTAATAAGCCATTTAATTACGGGCTTGTCTGTTAAATAAATTATTTCACTATACTATTATAGTTATACTATAGATATAGCAGTACAATTCTGGTAGATTTAAATTCTGCTGGCCATTTCATTTCTGTGCGGATCACAGTTTTAACCTAACCTAAACCACTACTGTGGTAGCAACTCTGTTTCAATGACAATCTCTTCGTCTTTCAACTAATGACCTGTGCCTTTAGCCACACGCCACTTTAGGGCTTGTTTACTGAGAGAGTAGAAAACGAAATGTATGGGAATGACACTGACAAGTGTAAAAATTTACTATTCTATTCTACACATAGACAAGCGCTAAGTGGCATTTGGCTACAGCCGCTGAACGGGAAATTTAGCCATTCAATCAAGCTGCTAATCGTTCCGGCCGTTATTTTAATGTCTAATTAAGCTAACTAACTCAATATATGGGTGCGACATATGCATTACATTTACAATTATATTAGTATACCTAATATGGTAAGGAATTAGATATATGACAGTCAAACTGTCTATCAAAATGAATACGTACTAGCGGCTCCGCCCCTGCTTCCCGTGGACGTTACGTCACGCCAGTCATGCAGTCAAATAGAGTGTTATTTCCCGATTTTTATGGCGAACTATCATGAACATAATAAAGAAAAATGAGAAGATGCCAACTTCTCTTGCCATCTTCAATAAATTATAATTATTATATATAATTTCGAATTTATATCAATGTGTATGGTACAAAAATAGTTTTAGCATTGTCTCTTGCTATTGATGGTTGTCTTTATTTTGTAAAAAAAAAATGGGAAACCATCAAAATGTCAATGACGGAGCGGGATGGGAGGAAGTGTCACACTCTTCTGACTAAATATGGTATATGCTTAGGTGAGTAACCATATACCCCATTTAGTCAGTTACCGCGACCCGGGCAAGATTTACCGCGACCCTACGAAAACTGAGGGCGAGATGCTACATCATGAAATAGTGTTTTAAAGATGTATAGATAAAGAATATATAAAGATTATAATTTCCTTAACGCCAAGTTTACTAGACGGTCGAACGAATCGAAAATAAGAAGATGAAAGCTGCCGAAGATTTGAATTGGAAGAACAAGCAATTGTGGTACTATTTCGTGAATAAAAAACGTTAAGACCACATGAATTTGTTTTATTGAACATTAGATTTTTATTATTAACCTAACCAATATGTAATATAACCAATTATCATGATCACTCGATTTAGATGAATAACAAAAACTCATTATTGTTACAAAATATTTCAACTCATTACTGTAACACAAACTTTAATGTTACAAATTATTTATTGATTATATTATGATCAATAAATAATAGGAAGTTTTAATAGAACAAGACTAATCTTTGTGTTACTGGTTAAGCCTTTGGCTGCCGACAGAAAAATATTGAAGGCAAATCCTCCGCTAACGAAGGCGGTTAACGTGTTAGCAAACAACCCAAAACGTAAAAGCAAAGATTTCATTGTTTATTTGGATTGAATAGGTCTCCAAAGTTAAGGTTTTCAGCAATGGGAAACATCTTCAAGGCAGGTTCCCATTTGTCCCTACAATTTCTACAGTATCGAGATCTATTCGAGAAGTCTAGAGAAATCATACTGGCGCTGCTGAGGCCTCGGATTAAATTAGGTGCGTTAACAATCAACTACGAACTAGTAGCGAATAATATGGTTTAGTCTCTCTTACACGGGCACAGGTGTGAGTTCTGAATAAATAAAACAATTTAAAGGCACTGGAATAACAGTTTTAGTGTATCACATCTATCAATTATACTCACTCTCTAAAAATAAGGAAAAATGCATATTTCATTCTTACGATCGATCTTTAGAAAAGTACCAACCCTATAGGTAGTTAAGTACAAAAACTCAAGCATACATAAAACCAGTTATTTTGACCAATTTAACCTGGAAGTGCGTTGCAACTGACAACTTTAGATAAGATGTGCAGTGAACAGTAACTTCCGGTGGCCGTACTACTAATGAGTACGTATCAAACGGAATAATTTATAATAAAGTAAATACCTGCAATCTTATAGTTTAAGTCGGTACCTCCTATTGGTTTATTGACCTTTCATTATAATACCGTCCAATTCCCACTAAAGTAACTAGGTACTTAGTACGATTACGAAGGACAAGTCTAACTTTCTTATTTTATTATTGGTAACGACACACACACTGGGTAGGTACACAATACTAACCGGTTATCAAACTTACATTAATAATAGATGGTAGTAGACTAGACTAGGTATGCATACCTATAGTTGTAAATCTTCCTACAAATTTTTAGCCTTACAGAACAAACTTTATTTGGAGTGTTCAATAGTTCTTAAACTATACGTAGGTAAGTAGGTAGGTACCTAATTCCTAGGGCGTGTTACATGCGTGAGATGAAAAGGGACGGCGAAGATACAGATAACAAAGTGTAAGTAACGTAAGCAACACAAATTAACTAAGTGTGAGTAGATACCGTTACCTAATCTTCAATTTTGTAATAGGTAGCAAAATAAATCAATATACCTAGGATGAGGATTATCAGTTTGCATCGAGTCGGTCTAAATAAGAAAGGAAGCAGAAGATGGCGCGGCGCGCGCAGCACAGCGCCGCGCCATACCGCAACACGTCATAGTTGTCCGATGAAAAATGCATACATATGAAATAAAGTATCAATTATATTGGTACCTAATGTTTATTCAGGACTTTCAACCATACCTATGTAAGTCTATGTTGTGTAATAACTTTTAATAACCTATGTCTATAGCTGAAGTTAGGTTAAGTAGGTACAATAGATATACTATAATATAACCAAGATAAGACCCAGTTAATCTATTACACGAAACGATTTTTATGTTGTGCCATACTTACCTAGCAAAAATTAATTACAAGTTCTGAAGACAGTTCAGCATTTACCTTCTATACTACACAAAGGTTGGTACGTGTACCTACATAAAAACAATAATATTGGGTAAGTACAGTTTAATAAAATTTCTTAATTTTACAAATAGCAAAGAGATTAAAAGTATAATAGATTAATACCTATGTCCAACATCACCAAAAAATACTTATCATATATTAAAATTATATAAACAATACGACCTAAACATATTCCTAAACTTTGAACGCACCATTTATTTTCATCTTACTTATCTGTGGTCCAAATAGTGCGAACGAAGCAAAGGAGTGGATATTCATAACCTAAAATGTAACATATACATTAAAAATACATATTGTTTCATATTAAAGTAGATAGTAAGTTTACAGAATTCCACAAAAAATCCTGAATAGTCCTTAGGATTTTCTAGATTTAAACAGGTTAGTTTTTATTTCGAAGATGCAACGGCGGCCATCTTGTTAACTGCGTATCTGCTGACTCCAATCGTTTGTTATTTCAATAATAGGTAAGTGTTTAATAATATATTATTTTTTGTTACGCTTTATACATATTAAAAGTTTTAATAGCGCACTTATTTTGCTATTTGAATTGTGAAGGTAAGCACATAGATGTGTCTACTTACTTATGGAAAAAAAAATTAACGATAGGTAAATAGCCTATTGTATAATTTGCTAACACCCATGGATTAGGTAATGATTGGCGACTTTATATTATGTACATTGACAATAATGATTTAGAAGGTACCTATTTGACAAATTATTACGCATGGTAGAACGTCGTCGTGCTAACTTGCCAAGCCTTCTTATTGATCGGGTCTTGGGAATCGTAAAGAGTTGCCGTGGCTCCGGCTTGAAGCAGGAATTGAACAGGGTGGTTTTTGGTCAGTCTGACACTTTCACTCGCCTCACCCAGGGCGGGGAAGAAACATTCGATGATTTTCTCTCGTAAATTAGAAAATTATATGTTGTTTTAAGGATTATGATCTTTAGCGTTTTGTTTCGCACCGTTCATGAAGGTTACAAGAAACGGAGGTACCCATAGAAAGATCGTGGCAGAACATTGTCATCAAATTCAGTAGGTCTACTTTCATAAAAAGTGCTTAATTAGGTACCTATCACTTATTGGATTGGTAATCCAGATATTAATATGCTTTTACTCCTTACCTCTATTTCTTTCTATCTTTTTTGACAATTACACATCTTTCACCCTCATTTGGGTACTTGCCTACAAAGGAATGGAGATCGTAATGATTAGGTCTGTGCAATAAAACCGGGGTGTGGCTGTAGAGATACCAAGCTGCTCTAGAATCAGTTGAGTAAAGGGCAATGCCCAGAATCGATTAGAATCATTCATGAACAATACATATAATAGACCATAAGTGAGAGGTCGCAAATATGCTATTCATTTTGGTCAAAACCAATACCGAACGGGCCAGCAGCCTGCAGCATAGTCAGTTAGTGCAGTTTTGAATAACGCGTCGGTCGCGTGAATAACTGACTTATTGTTTTGCCACTGTGCTTGTTACTAATGTAAGACTTGAAGAATACTGATAAGATAATATTACATTACGAGAATTAAATCTCCCAAACCTATAAGATTTTCCAAGATTATCATACCACGGTGTGATTTGGTCAAAAAAGCCAATATACCTCGTGTGTTCATAAGTTTTGAGACAAATTAAAAGTTGCATATCTTTTTAAATAATAAACTTATATTTATAAAAACAATAACAAACATTAAGTAGATAGTAAGTAAAAATTAAATATAATTATTATTCAAAATGACCACCCCTGTTTTTAATACATGCCCTTAGACGATTTGGCCAGTCATCAATGGCGGCACGAATCTTTTCCAGAGGAATTCGCTTCGCTTCTCGGACAAGAGCTCGCTTAAGTGACTCCAAGTTTGGGTGGGACTTTCGGCAGGCTCTGAGCTCTAATTCGGTCCATAGAGAATAATCCAGCGGGTTGAGGTCGGGGCTGGAGGAGGGCCATTCGTTCGCCGCAATGAAGGCCGGCACATTTTCCTTCAGCCAAGCTTGGGTGGTTTTAGCCTTATGGGATGGCGCCGAGTCTTGCTGGAAAACCCAATACTTGTTATGGAATAGGGTATTAGACAGGGGTTTCACAACAGTCTCTAGAATGTCACTTTGATAATTTTTGGCTTTCACCTTGACGCCTTGTTGGCAGAAATGAAGCTGAGTGACACCTTCGTACGAAACTCCCCACCATACCATGACACTAGCCGGATGATGAGTACGCGAGACATTCCGTGCTGAAGGTGGGACATCCTTGCTACTTTTGGCATACACTTTATTGTTTTGTCGATTGAACTTTTCTTCGACGGTAAAGATTTTCTCGTCGGTGAAGAGTATCTTCCTCGCATCGTGTCTCCTAAGCAGTATTGGACAACGTTCGCGTCGCAATTGACGAAGGCGATCGTTTAAAAAGTGTACTTTTCTACGGCTATACGCCTTAACCTTGAGATCATATTTCAGTATTCTGTTGACTGAAACGCGCGAAATATTGGTCTGCAGAGCGAGTTTCTTCTGAGTGCGACATGGATTTCGGCGAAGTCGCTCTCGGATGATTTTAATGTTCGCAGGCGTCCTCACAGAGCGTGGACGACCACTTCTTTGCCGATCATGTAAAGAACTTGTCTCCTGGTATCGTTTAATAGTGTAATACACGAAGTTACGGCTCACAACAAAACTTTTCAGTTCTCGGAAAATGTCCATAGGTTTTCTTCCCACCTTAAATAATGAAATGACGGTCGCACGTAATTCTTTTGTTCCCTCCATTACGAGAAAATTTAAATAAAATAATCCGAAATCATAGATATTAAAAGTTAACATTCCAAATTCAAAATTAGAAAAAGAAATATACAGCAGCCAGTAATTTTTATTTTATTTTTATAAGCAAAAAGTTTGTCTCAAAACTTATTAACACACGAGGTAAACTGACAGTTAATCTGCGGAAAGATGATCAAAGAGAGACTACGATAAGCCAATTATATATTTTTTTATTATTTGGTGATAGTTTAACCCATGTTGTAACCCATGTGAATATACGCGAGACACAGTGTGTTTTCATATACCGGCAGATAAGAGGTCGAGTAGAAGAGAAGAATCGAAATGTAATGTATGTGTAGGTACTCTACCTT